CCGGCTGGGCAGTGAGACGGGGAGGAAGGATGAGAGTCATGGCTGGGTAGGGAGGGGGGCGGGCAGAGGGGTGTGTATGTATTGCATCGGCGGGAATACGTACTTGGAATTGAGTGTTTTGTCTGTCTTGACCGTCACGGGGGTGCCCCTCAGCGAACCCGCGCGTCCATAGGGCCGTATTGTGTCGCCGGAGCGCGAACTCCACGAGCTCTCCACCGAAGCATGACGGCCGACCGTCTCATTCCTCGTCATGGTCACGGCGGGGTGTGCAGCAGTATATGTGTCGCGCCAGGCCCGCGCAGATGCGGCGACGGTAGGCGGGTTGGGTGGCTGCTTGCGCAGAGGTGCCTAGGACGGCTGCTTCATCGAGGCGGGACAGCAGCTTGAGGTGTGCACATGGGCGGCGGCGGCAGAGACAAAGGCGGAGACGCAGGCGAGCCGGGGCAGGGCAGGGCAGGGTAGGGTAGGGCAGGGTGAGGCGAGGCGAGGCGAGGCAAAGAGCGCGACCAGCAGCGGTCAAGGGCCCAGCGGACAATGGGGGGGCGGGCGGGCGATGGATGCNTGTGTGTGTGTGTGTGTGTGTGTGTGTGTGCGTGCGTGCGGTACGTGGGAGGGGGCCGCAAGGGGATGCGAAGGGCAGAAGAGAGAGAGCAGCAGCAGTTGGGGTTGGGGAAGAGAGGCGCTTCAATGCGAGGGCGGGTCTGGGTGCAGGCGGCGGGGTGGATGGGAGTGCGGACGTGCTTGCGGCGTGGTTCTCTATCCTGGTGTTCTGTCTCTCTGTGGGCGCATGTGTGTGAGGGTGGCACTCGCCGTGTCTATGTCGCTGCGTGGGCTGGTGGTGGGCGATGGGGCACTGGGGCGGCGGGCAGTTGGCATTCGGCTCGGCATGGGCATGGGCGCAGGCTCCACTCTGTATGGAGAGCGACATGCTCACCTGTCCTCGAGCAGCATTGCGCCACCTGCACACCCTCGTCCGCTGCCCTACCCTCCCCTCCCCGACCAGCCTACCCACTCCCAAAGACACTACCGCGCCCTACCGAGCTGCCCGTCCAAGCAGCCCACCCCCGGCCTAGAACACCGGCCGTCTTTGGCGGACGCGGGACTTTGCCCTCATCCAGCAGTCCTCGTCGAGCGACGGGACTTGTGCATGGCTCCATGGGTCGACGGCCGGCTCACTGATTTGGTGCGTCTCCTACGCCTAAACAACCACCGTGTGTTAGCCGTCGCACTGCTGCGCTGCTGCTCCGTGGGCCTGGTGGCGCTGTCGCACGTCTCCCCGCTTTTGTAGCGACGTCTGTTCGAGCATCTCGTGCTGCAAGACGGTCGCTTGCGCACCGCCACGCCATCACCATGCCGCCCTCGGCCTCCACCACCACGCTCCATGGTTGCACCTACACTGACTAGCTCCTCCTGCATTGCTCTCGCCACTCCACTTTCGATAGTCGTAACAATACGCAAAAGCAAAGCCAAAATCCGCCCTCTGACGCCCGCTGCCCACCAGGCTGCCCACACCAAAGCTCGCCCGTATTCTCCGACGTTGCACGTCTGCCCTAGTCACAGCACCATCTCTTGCTACCTTCCCACCGCGGCCGCCCACCCACTCCCACCGTTTCACCACGGCCCCCCACGAACGCCTGGATCCTACCGCCAATGGAAAATAACATTTCATCCCCATCCACCAATACATCCTCCCTGACTCATCTCAACACCACCGTCTACTACCTGTACACACGACGTATGTACTTACTACATCTCTGACCAAATGCTGACAAGAACCAACCATGACCCCCCTCTATGCCCCTGCACCCCGCATCTTCAAACCTTCTTCCAATCAACACACAGTAGTGGTACAATATCGTCTGCGCCATTGCCCTGATTAATATTTACACTTTGATGCTTCAACACCCATGCTTTTTCCACCTGACGTCGACGCATATCACACCAGCTCATCCCTCCTGCTGTACGAGTAATATCATTCTACAAGACGCCATCCCAGATTAAAGAAAATACCCTGTACGCTTAGCCAAAAAAAAACAACAGCAACAGCAACGACACCAATACCCGTCCCTGACAAACTAGCCCCCTTCGCTGTCTCACAAACATCGTCATCGCTCCTTCTCGCTGAGTAGGCTGCATGTCCATCGGGCCCCGCCAATCTGTCCCTTGTCCTACTGGGGCGCCCCTCCACCTTGGAGAGCCCGCAATATATCCTGCAATGACTGTGCGCTAGCCTGCCCATTGCCCGGCTGCGGGGCATTCATACCCGGTGCCTGGCTCTGCCCGTATGCCTGATAAGGATACGAGTATTGCGCTTGAGCAACCGGTTGTGGCGGTGGCGGTGCGGGGGCCTGTGCTGCCATGTGAGGCTGCGGCGCTTGTTGCCCGCTCATCGCACCTACAACCTGGAACCACTGTGCCCACGCCGCCCAATTGGCTGCCTGGTTCTGCTGTGGTTGTCCCTGTCCTTGCGCCGGTACGGGAGCCTGCGCCGCGTAAGATGGTTGAGGAGTATATGATGCAGCCGCTGCTGGTGGAGGAGGCGGCGGGGCTGACGCATATGGTATCGCAGGTTGTGATGGGCCTGAAAACGGTACTGGCCAACCTGCGTTGCTGTTGTTTGTATACGCATTAGAGTTCGAGGGCCCGGAAGGTGCTGGAGAAGCATTCTGATGTTGCTGTTTTTGGGTTTGCTGCTGCTGCTGCTGCTGTTGTTGTTGCTGTTGTTGCTGTTGTTGCTGCTGCTGCTGCTGCTGCTGCTGGCGCTCCCGCTCTCTCTTCTCACGTTGTCGCTGCTTGCGGTTCTTGTTCTTGCCGCCACCTCCAGAGGGCGACTGCTGCGAAGAGGGTTGCTGAGGGTACGACTGATTACGGTCCTGTTGCTGGCGTGCCGGAGATGCAGAGGCAGCAGATCGATTGTCTTGGTAGGGCCCGTTCCTCTGCTGCTGGTTGTTCTGTTGAAACTGCTCTTGTTGCTTGCCGCGGTCAGACTGGTTCTTGCCCGCTCGTCCACCCTTCTCACCCCCTCCTTTGTCGCCTCGATTGTTGCCCTGAGCCCCGCGGTCGCCCCGTGGTCCTGCACGATCACCGCGTCCGCCATTGCCGCCGCCGTATCCTCCTCGATCTCCACGAGCACCTCCAAAGTCACCACGTCCGCCACCGCCTCCCCGGCCACGAAACCCGCGACCTCGATCGCCCCATGGACCCCTGCCGCGACCCATGCCTCTTCGCACATGGCTACGATCTTCAAGTGGCGCACCCTGACCAACAATCTGTTCAAAGTGGTCTGGTCGAGCAAGCGGTTTGTACATGCCCAAATCCTCATCTTCATCGTCACTGTATTTAAGCCCACCGCCTTGGTACTCCATGGGCCGGTAGATAGGCGGTGCTGGAGCATCGACGTGTAGTCTCGGGCCAGTGGGTATGTTCACAGGAGCCTGCTCCTCGTTGGTATCCGCTCTAGCTCGCTTCTTGGCTTTCTGCTCGCGCTTATATTCAGCCTCCTTCTCATCGTCTGAAAACTCGACTTCGTTGGTCTCTTCGTCGTGGAGGTTCGATGCATCGGTATGCTTCTGTCGACGGATGGGCTCAGTCTCGGTGAAGGTTGAGTGCTCGTCAACATAGTAAATAGGTGTGTCCTTCTCGATGCCTAAAGTCGCAAGTTCAGCTGGGTCATTGAAGCCAAATGAATAGCGAGGCTCTTCAACACGGCCAATCTGCTCAGACACCTTGCCGACAACAGTGCGGTTCTGCAGACAGAGCGCCGAGCCAGATTCAAGCACTTGCTCATCTCCAGACATCTTGGCCTTTACAACCACTAGATTGCCAACAATTGATTCAACCTTGCCGAGCTCTGTGATTTTGGTGTCTTCTGTCACAGTGATGTCGGGCTTCTCGAATTTCTCGTCCATCTCATTGAGTGTCTTGACCTTCACCGGGCCCGAGGCGCCTGCATCGTCTGCGACTTCAGCCATAAGGAGGCGTACCTGCTCCTCAGGATCCAGCAGCTCGCCCTCATCTGAGCTGTCATCAGAACTCGAGTCGGAGGAAGAGTCTGAGTCTGAGTCTGAGGCATCCGAGTCCAGCTGCCATTCAGCATTCTGGTCACCCCTGTTTGCTTCCGCCGCGCGCAAGAATTCGGCCTTGCTGTCGAATGTCGCGCCTTCAGGTGAAGCATCTTCAGTCTCGTTTTGGTGGTCTATGGCTGCAGTAAGTGCCGCGTCGAGCTCGCCGTCGGTGTCGGCAGCGGGGGTATCTGCTGCTGCAGCAGCATCTTGGGTAGACGTCAAGTTTGCACCAGGCAGCTCAGAGGGCGACGGCATGCCTTGCTGTGGAGCATCATGCTGGGCCTGCGCTTGATTGGCTGCAGACGGCTCGACTGGGATGCCGGTCTGCGCGTTCGCGTTGGCATCATCGTAAAAGGCCTCCCCATCTGAAAACTCGCCGTCTTCTGGCTCATCTTGGGCTGCCGCGCCGTCGTATGGCTGCGGCTGCGGCTGCGCAACCGGGGCCTCGCTCGTAGAGCCGAGTCCTGGAAGGTGAAAGGCTGGCGCGGGTGCAACCGCTGCAAACGACGACGCTGTCGTCCCATCCACAGCGGTAGGCAGCGCAGTAGGTTTGACTGGCGTAGTGTCGTAAAAATCGTCGTCCATGTCATCGACAGGCGAACCAGGCGCGTCCAGCGCTGATGCAGAGGATGCTGAAGTGCCATACTGTGTGGGAGCGTCCGCCTCCAACCGCGCCCTTTTGGCCGGCGGTTCCAGAGAGTCGGACATGTTCGAGTGTCTCTCTCTGCAGTCTTCTCTGAAGCGCGCGTGATCACTGCGGTATATCAACTGCGTTGTCTGCACCCGTTTGCTTTTATTGCGTGCGGTGATTGTTCTGGGACAGGAGAGCGGATCCAGGGAGAACGTCGCCTTTTTCGATGCGCGCTAGTATGCTTGGCGGGTAGGCACGACCTCAGCCCTATGACGCGGGTGAACGCGGAACGGGCGATCTCGTTCATGCACCGCCCTGGACCTCTTGCCGTTATTGTTGCTCACAGTCGACGGAGATAGCTGCTGCCATTGCCTCACCGCCATGTCTGCCACACGCCCCAAGGCGGCGCCTCCGCATGCGGCCAGGTACGTCCAGACACCACTGCTCAGGGGGGCGCCCATTCCTGCTGACATGCATCCACTGACCTACCCACAAGACCCCCCTCACTCACTGCTTTCGGCGCCTTCTGCGTCTTTGCCGTGGCCAATCTAGCCGCTGCCGCCTTCTCGCCCATTCAGGACTGTGACGAAGTATTCAACTACTGGGAACCTAGCCATTACCTCAACCATGGCTATGGGCTCCAGACGTGGGAATACTCGCCAGAATATGCCATCCGAAGTTGGACTTATACCGCTATCCATTCACTCATCATCTGGGCCGGCACGTGGCCTTTGCAATTCCTTGGCATACAAGAATCAAAGGTCGTCGAGTTCTACTTCCTACGCGTTATCCTGGCCCTCTTCTGCGCTCTATGCCAGGCTCGTATGTATTCTGCTATCCGGAAAACGTTCCAGGAGCGCATAGCCATCTTCTTCATGATCATCATGACCATTAGCCCAGGCATGTATCATGCTGCCCCTGCATATTTGCCGTCTAGTTTTGCCATGTACTTTGCCATGCTTGGTTTCGCGTCTTTCATGGACTGGTATGGCGGCTCGATCAAGACTGCTCGTGGAATTACGTGGTTTGCTATTGGCAGCGCTCTTGGATGGCCCTTTGCTGGCGCCCTTGCCTTGCTGTTCATCCTCGAGGACGTCATTGTGAGCTTCGTCACAGGCACAATCCTGCAAAGTCTGCAGCGTTTGATTTTTCAAGGCGGGCTAAGCGCCTTGGCTATTCTTGCCGTGCAAGCAGGCATCGACTCATTCTTCTACAGAGAACCAGTATGTGTACCATTGAACATTGTCCTGTACAACGTCTTCAGTGGTGGCGGCAGAGGCCCCGATATTTACGGAGTAGAGCCATGGCATTTCTACATACGTAATTTGGCCTTGAACTTCAACATTTGGTTCTTCCTTGCCCTGGTTGCCCTGCCGCTGCTTCTTATTCAGTACCTTGTGTTCGAGAAATCTGTCTCACAGCATACACTGAGGCGATCTGTGGTTTTTGTTAGTCCGTTTTATCTATGGCTGACAATCTTTACTGTCCAGCCTCACAAAGAGGAACGATTCATGTACCCAGCATATCCGGCACTAGCCTGGAATGCTGCACTATCGTTGCACATATTCCTGGCCAACTTTGGCTCCATGGATCCACGACACCTAGTCAGTCGGATTCCTCCTATGGTGAAGCTTATCATCGTTTGTATCCCACTACTTCTGTCGTTCAATGTGGGCATGCTCCGCACTATTGGTATGTTGCATCTACTACTCTACTCGCCCCCAGCTCCAAACAACCTGATTGTTACTCTTGGAATAGTGTCGACCATGTCCTGAAAAACTACTAATGAATTTCCTAATCAGGTCACATCACGGCTTATTCAGCGCCACTGAACGTCTACAAACCACTGTTTGACCCCAAGTTTGTCCGCATCGAAGGCATGCCGGAAGACATGGTGTGCTTGGGTAAGGAGTGGTACCGCTTTCCATCCTCGTTTCATTTACCGTCAGGTGTTCGTGCAAAGTTTATCAAGAGCGAGTTTTCTGGACTCTTACCTGGTGAATTCAGCGAGGGCGAAATGGGGTCAGAGCTATTCCCGGGTACATGGATGGTACCAATGGGGATGAACGATGAAAATCGCGAAGATTCCGGGAAATATGTGAGTAGTACATGAACTTTCATCCCAATGGACCCACTAACGGCAATGTAGATTGATATTCAACATTGCGACTTCCTGGTTGACTCACGGTTTCCCGGAATGCCACCAACAAGGCTTGAGCCCGACTATATCTCCGAAACGGAGCAATGGGAAACTTTGAAATGCCTCCCATTTCTTGATGCAAGTGAGACGAGCTTTGTTGGTCGCACGCTCTGGATTCCGGATCTGCCATTTATACCCGCAAAATTCCAGCGCAAATGGGGCGAATACTGTCTTTTACGACGAAAGAAATAGAGGCAATACAGTAAGATTATAGAGGCAGCAATCTGGCTGTTGGAGAGATTGCGGAATTACCACGTCGTTGGATACTTTGAGGGTATATCCGAGCCAAGCTACTTGGGATACGGCAACTAGGGCGCGCCATGGAACCTCTTGCTAGCCATATGCGCAGTACTCGAATGCACTCAAGGCATTGGATGTTGAGAGGTCTATCACCTGCTCCCGAGAGATCTTGAGTTGCTATCGCTGTGCATGCCTGCCTACCCCACTAAACCGAGTAGGGTATTGCTTTCCCCGCCCCAGCATGTAGATAAACGGGTACTGACGACAGTGATGCGGGCAACCCCACATTGTGACAAGTCTTATCTCAGCAGACCTGATAGTTATGTACTGGTATCGAATCGGAACGTAAATAATAGAAAAAGGAAGTTGTACAGCATGCCGTGCATGACGATTTCGCCGTGATCTGTAGTGTGCTGTCTCTCTATTTTGCTTATTTGGACTGGCTCGCCCTCTGTTCATTTCGAAGATTAATTGATATTTCGTCTGATGTCAGCTATTCATTTTGCAACTGGTCGTTTCACTCTCGCACTGTCGTCATGTCTAGCCTAGGCACTCGGCTTGGAGAGCATGCCGCACTTGTCGCTCGAACAGCGCAACACCAGTACTCCAAAGCTAAGACTGAGTTGTACAAAACATTCAATGTTGCAAAACTATCGCCAAAAGCAATCCTATACACTGGCCTCGTCTTCGTCACGTGTATCTGGCTCACCCTAGCATTCACCCGTCACGTGCGCAACACAAGAAGAAAGAACCGAGCAAACAACAGCAACAACAACGAACCCAGTACCCCGAATCTAGAAAAGCGATCCCCATTCCGAGCGCCCGACCGACCATTCGGAGGTAAGTAAACCCACCTCAGCCACCCTCTCCCACATACATACATACATACATACAATCGTCTAACCCACCTAGTATGGCACCCCCACCCCTTCACCCGCCCGACGGCCTCGCCCTACCCAAACTGGTCCCTAACAAGTACGCCACCGCTTCCCTACCGCCCCTTCCGCTACGGCCCCAAATACAACATCACCATGGGCCTCCGCAGCATGCCCTGGGACGAGTGGATCGAACTCGACTCCGACTACCTGGACTACCACTCGCTCAAAGCGTCTCGCATCGCCTCGCGCGGCGCCCAATGCATCCGCACCGCGCCCGAAGCCGCAGATGCGGCGCGCGAGCTGGCCGAGGAACTGGTCGCGTATCTGCCGCAGCGGTATCCCACTCTCTTCTCCAAGACGCAGACGGGGATGCGGAATCTCGTCACGCACGAGGTGTTTGATGTGCAGAGGATGCAGAGGAATGGCGAGTGCGAGGATGCGATGAGGCTTTGTGCACGCATGGTGCAGGATGATCTGGCGATTATGATGGAGAGGGAGGACGGCCAGTATTATCTTGTTGCTGGGGCGATTTTGCTGCCGGGGTTTTGGAGGTTGGGGGATAAGTTTGGGATGGGGTTGAGTGAGATTCATACGAGTGGGGATGTGCCGGGGTATGTTTCTTCTTCTTCTTCCTCTTCTTCTTCTTTTGATAGGGGATGGGGTGATGGAGGGATATGGACGGTACTTTACTAACGTCATCATCATTGTTAGGTTCAAGGAGAAGCTGGAAAAAGGCATGGTCAACTTTTTTCGTCGGATTCAGCCTCAGAGCCCCATGCTGCGCAACAACTACTTTATCCAGGTGGATGACAAGCTGGCGTGGAGCGAGAGTATAGGAAGTGAAGATGCTACTGCCGAGGGAGAGGTAGGATGGTTTACGGCCGAGAAGAACAAGGCGATTGAGCACCATTATTTCCGGAGCGAACGACAAAGTTTGAGACGGTACGTTGCGATTATTATTCTTATTTTTTATTTGTATTCTTTCACTTTGATCTATTTTACACATTGGCTCAAGGTTTAAAGGCATCACATCTAACTTTGAACAGACTACCCAGGTCCGGTGGTGTCGTGTTTACTATACGAACTTATATGCGTCCAATCACAAGCCTTGCCGAAGAACCATATGTCCCCGGCCGACTGGCTAGCGCTATCCGGTCTTGGGGCGACGATGTCAGCCGGTACAAGGGCAAGGAGAGGTATGGCGATGTTCTGCTCGAGTACCTGGACAGAAAGCATGCCGAGCAAAAAGAGCGCGGAGTCGTTGTTGAGGGCGAGGAAGAGGCAGAGAGTGCGTATCCCTTCTAGAAACGGAAGGGGGATAAAGTTTAAAGTGCCGATCTGGTCCACCGTGTAATTTGCTATGCACATGCGTTTTGCCGCGACGTTGTGTGTAACAGGGTCTCATGGCAGGTAGTCGTATTATCCAATTCGAATGGTAGAGTTCGGATAGTTGCTGGGTAGTCAGTTACTAATGGATAGTCATCCGCCCCGACGTCGGTAGCCAAGAAGTCCATGTTTCCGGAGGGGGAATCATGTTGACTTGATTCGGCGAGGGGGTTGTTTGGCTTGTATTCGGGCCGGACCCTTTTGGAGCGAACTCGAGTAATTCTGCAGATTATGCCCAAGGCGGGCCAGTTGGGCTACCTGACGCAACGTGGGCCACAGCCCCAATGCACAGTGCGGTTGCCATAGATAGTACATGGTCTGTCTCACAGCGTACGTGCGTATGAGCTGAGCGTGGTGTGTGTATGTGTGCGCATGATTTGTAGCATTACGAGTGTACTTGGGTACTTATGCGCAGTCAGGATAAGGGAACTTGTCGCGACAGGCCCGAGTTGGGAAGTAGTTGGGGGGCAGTTGGGGTTAGCAGCTGGAGTAAGAGTGCCGGCAAGTATGTACATGTGTAAAGATGCATGTGGGTGTGTATTGATGCGAGGGCCTGACTGGCTGAGGACTGGCGGTGTTGACAGCAAGCGTACCATGGTTGATGTCGTGCAGTAGCCTTTGAGGCATGAGGAAGGTGCAGGGTACGACCCTTGGGGGTTATTGGTGAGTGAGTGTGACGCAACAAGGGCAGTCGACAGCTTCTGCCGAGTCAGGATGGATGGAGTGGAGTGCCGACTAGGGCGGTTCACTGGTCTACTATGTAGGAGATTGCGGCAGCGGTTTTTTTTTCTTGTCCAAGTCGAGGACAGCCCTGCTTGTGCGGAGGCATAGCGGGGCCGCCGTCACGACGTCTCAGCATGGCAGGCAGATAAGTAAGTAGGCATGGCGCTTGGGGAAATGAACCGGCGTGGTTGGTGTGCAAAGAGAGAGGGAATGCGATAACGAGCTTGTTAGCATCCAGGGCTTGGCGAGATGCTGGGGCGGCCAATCGCCCATGTGAGCGGCGCCGCACGTGAGAACGGGGGTGTGGAGGCGTGAGTGTGCGTGTGAGGATGCCAGCACTGCACTGCACTGCACTGCAGCCAAGTGTGTATACAGACACGGCGCATGCTCGCCGGCCGGTGTTGGCGCCGATGGTTCTGCGGCCGCTGGTGTGGGCGTGGAGAGTTGATTGCTGCCCTGTGCTGGTGGCCGTTGTGTCCAAGCAAGGCGGGGGTTGGGATGAGCCTGCCAGTCCACCCGGCGAGCGACTTGGTTCCCGACGTAATAGCGCTCCAGTCCGTAGCCTCGACCAGCAGGTGGCTAGCCTGCGCCCGCGACCTGACTGGCGAGGCCGACGGGGGGAAGAGCAGCAGCAGGCGCAAAAGCAAAGCGGCGCCGGGGGGCGCTATGCAGCGTCGTATGCTTCGGGCCAAGGGCGGTATGCGCAGGGCCTGGCGGTATACATGGCGAGCGAAGCCGTGGCATAGTGCGCAGTCCGCATCTCAGAAGACGGACGGTAGCGGTACGGACGTAGTAAGTAGATGCGCATGTACACGGACGCGCAGCGCAGACGAGATATGTACGTACACCACTAATGTGCTAGATACTTACTAGAGATGGGCAGCGGGGGCAGCGGAGTGATCCGAGGAACGGCAGGGCCAGGGTGGTTTCGAGGGCGAGGGCGGGCGCTGCATGGTGAATGGGCGCTTTGGTGTGATGGCGTCTGGCCGGGCAATGGGCAGCGCAGCCCTGAGAGCCCTGGCTCGTCCATGTATTGCTCGTCGTGTCCGGCCAAATTCACTCCTCCTCTGCCCTCTGTGCCTCACCCGCCGCCGACAGCCATGCTCAGCGCCCTCTCCTGACCTCGTCCTGTCTGTTCTGCACATGCTCCGCGCCGCATCCAGGCCGACTATGGAGGACAATGGCCCTACCCGCCCTGCCTCAGAACAATAGTGACATCGCTGCACCGTGCTCGCCCGTCCACACTGCGAAACGCGACGTCCTGCCGCCCGCCGCCGCCGCTGCTGCCCCCGGAACAGCCTCAGAAAATGCCAAACGGCGCGCAGACGACTCGCGCGAACAACTCAAGAGCAGCACACGGGCGCGCGGCACCAGCAATGCCACCATTGACACCACCACCAGCAACTCGACCGCTGCTGGCCGCTCCTACACGGTGGCCAATGTGCACAACGGCGTCATCTACCTGAGGTACGCAGCCCGTAATACACCCACTACCCACCAACACAGACCACCGTCCATGGTGAACATGATATTAATCACAGCAACAACATTGGCCATGACGACGACGACAACAACAACAACAACAACAATTCCTACTACTCCTACTACTCCTACCACTGGCGCTGACTCTCTATTCACAGGCCCGTGGCGCGCCCTGGCAACCAGCGAGGCCGCCCGCAACCAGATGCCTTCGTCTTCCCGCCCCAGACCCCCCCAGACAGCGCCACTCGCGACACGCTGCGCCCGCTGAGCGATGACCTCGACCATGGCCTCTGCGGCTCTTCATCTCCCCAGTCGGAGCCCTCACCACCGCTACCAGGCCTGAGCGAAGACGAAGTCGCTGCCCACTACTCCCACCATTACCACCACAGCCACCAAAACAACAGCCACTACCACCCCCACTCCGCACACACGCGCTCCCACTCCTTCTCCATTGCCGACGACCATATCCCCGCTTCCCTCACCAACGAGCCAGGCACCTTCAAGGTCGTCATCGAACGCCCGGGGCATGTTCGGCCCAAGACGGCTGACACTTCTTCCTTCCCCATGCTGCAGGTCCCCATTCCGCATTACCGCTTGGGCACTCCGCGTTTCAGCACACGCGGGACCGTCGACTTGCGCAGCTCAATCTACACAGGAACCTCGGGCACCGAGGACTTTGCCAATTCCCTCCTCGTCACCCAGCACAGCGCCAGACAGTCCTTCCTGTCGTCGCGTACTCGTTCAGATGCCTATTCGCCAGTACCCCACCGATTTCGCGCTACCATGGACCGCCCGCCTATTCCCCTCTCAGGCCCATCATCTGCTCGTGTCTCGCACTTTCCAATCGGTCCCCGCCTTTACGACGCCCTTACCCTGAACCCCGACGACAGGGCTGTGGTACGCTTCAATGCCAAGGGTGACATCCTGGCAGCTACGCCTTCCCGCCTAGTCGCTCACATCACCTCGCCAAGTTTCCTCGATTACGAACTGCTGTCCGATTTCTTTCTCACATTCCGTGCCTTCCTGTGCTCCCGCGATCTAGTCGCATATCTCATTGCCCGGTTGCGATGGGCTGTCGACCGCCAGGATGACTTTGGTCGCATTGTCCGTGTGCGCACATTCGTAGCCCTTCGTCACTGGATCCTCAATTACTTTGTCGATGACTTCATGCCACTCTACCGCCTACGAGTCATTTTCTGCGACCTGGTCAACAGTCTGTACAGTGATCTGCGTGCTCGTAAAGACGGAGGCGGAGGAGATATCAACATTGTGGGCGAGCTGAAGAAGTGCTGGAGACGTACTTGTGCATTATACTGGGAAACCAATGACCCCGTGGGCCGCAATTATGCAGACGATCCATTACTTCCAGGAGGTACGGATGAGGGATCGCAAATGTTGTTTGAAGAACCTCCTGCCGTTCAGCCTATGCCCAGTACACCTCCGCGGGCTACTGTACGCGACACCAAGGAGACCGTTGGATCAAACCCAAGCGATCATTTTGCTAGTCGGTACATGGACTGGGCCCAAAGATCTCGCCATACACCTCAAAACTCAATGAGCACTCCCTTTCTACCGTCACAGGATAATGAAAGTGCTCAGGTACCATTATCCCCCGCAAGTGAGCGGAGCATGCACGTTTTATCCTGCTCAATCCCAAAGCGGGGGGTAAACAAACACGACCAGAACGTCGAGCTGCCTCTGTATCCACACCCTGTACCCGCAGTCAATCCTGCTTCTACTGCCACGGCTCGTCTAGCAGGCGGCCCGCAACAACCAGTGTCTATGAAGAACAGCCAACGTCCAGCTCGAGCCCACAAGCGTAGCGGCAGTTTCTCTGACGCCCTCAGAGACAGCAGAGCCCCGTTGTCCATACCCAAGAATGCACCGGCTGACTACACCATTTCTGCTGTAGCAAACATGCCCGGCACTCTTGTGCGCGGCGGGCTCATCCAGCCAACCACCCCGTACTTCCAAGTCAAAACTCTACGAACCGCGCCATCTCGACATTTCCACGAGTCCGAAGACCTCGAAGTAAGCGAACTCCAAAGACCGGGACAAGCCAACTCACCGGGCATGAAGAAAATTCTAGGCAGTGTAAGACGTGCTTTAAGCACCCGTCAGCAAGGGAGCGTAGGTTCCCATTTGAGCGGATCTTTGCAGCAGCGACAGCCACCTTATGGGCGATCCTCGAACCCAGGTGCCGCCCCAGCCATCTCGGTGTCAGGAGGAGTACAGAAACGACGTGCCACTCGGCCGCGGTCTCAGATGCGTGTCGATGTTCTAGCAGCTACAGTAGCCGAAAGTTTCCGAAGAGCGGTAGAAGAGCAACTGCAAAGCGAGGGGCAGGAACTTAATGATGACGACGCTCCTAGTCTCAACGGTTTCGAATTCGAGTTTGATGGACGTGAAACTCCAACCCAGAACGACCATCAGCAACCACGGCGTAAACCGGACCCTCGTGTGCACAGCAACATCACCAGCGGCAGCAAATCGATTGTCATCATTGATGATACCGGGGCGCCACCACTGCCCACTACAAGCCCTTTGCCTACTGAACTCGACAAGGTAGCGGCAAAGTTGGACAATCACCAACGAGGCGTATCAAACAACGCATCCCAAGCTGATGACGCCAACTCGATACAACGCTCTCATCTCTATGATGACCCAGAACCCCACGCTGCCACAGAAGAGTACCGTCGCTCACGTACTCCTACTAGGCAGTCCAATGCAACGGAGAGACGGTCCATGTCCGCAGGTCCAGAAGGGATGCATTCTTTTCGGCGCAAGGGCTCAGTCAAGAATTCGTTAGCACATGCAGGCTCTCTTCGGCGCCATGCCTCTTACAACAGCGTGCTGAGTAGACGACGAGGTCCCGCAAGTGTGGCTACATTCCAGACCATGTCATCTGATAACGATCCCTTCTTTCTTGACCGACAGCCGACAGTCGAAGCAGCCGGACCAACACGACAGCTTCGCCGACGACCAGGTGGCGACCTCCGTGCTGCAGACAATGTGCATGATCTCGAACAGGTACAGCGACCGTACTCTACCGGTTCCGTATCAAACCACACCCACTCCATCACTAATTCTGTCATCCTACGCGCTGACCGTTTTATCGATTCAAACCCTGACTTGTCTCATGAGGTTCAGGGACCGCCCGAAGCGGAAACTCCAAGAAAGCCAATCTCCTTGGTGGATACGCACTCATCCCAACCCAACCTCAGGCCGTCCTTCGAGGCCGAAGTAGCAAAACTTGCTGCCTTGCCCGATGATACCGACGACGAAGGTGGAGTCGAGTCAGCGTTAATGAAGTTGGAGGGACGTTACGAGAAGAAGTCGCCAAGTATACCCTCGCAAAGAACTACGATTGATTTCGGACAATATCACCGTGCAACGCAGAGCTTCGGCCAGAGTTCTCGTCTTGATGCTTCCGAGCACGACAATCGTCCTGCAACTGATGACGTCTTCCATCGCCCGCTGGCTCCTCCTGAAACTGACGGTCAAGGCATGTACCGGCTGTCGGCCGAGAACTTTAATCGTCGTGTGCCACCAGTCACGTCCGTTGGTGAATCGACCGACTCGTACTCTTCCATACCCCTTCTCGACCGACATCTTAGTGGGATGGGGAGTCTACAACGAGGGCAAACGCTAGATTTCATCGCATCTTCAGCTAAACCTTCGCCTCTGCAAGTTGGCGCTTTTCCATTGCAAGCTGCCCGACCACCTGGTACGTCTTCGTCAATGAATTCATCTACTGAATACATTGAGGAGACAGACAGCATGAGGCGGATACCCGCTGGTGAAACCCTGCCTGCACATTCCTATGTCCGCGAATCTTTCCTGATGAACGACGATGAAGATCTCAGTGATGGTTTCTCCACATCTGCTGCACATTTCCTGGATGGTCAACAAGAAACTCCTGAGGGCATGCCAGGCAACTTACCAAGCCACCCCATGCGTCATCCGCCTACGCCTCCTCCCACGGCCCCTCAGCTACACGATTCTTTGCCCAATTCTACAGTCTTTGATGAAGGTCTCCCGACGCCTGGTCTTACACCCACAGTCTCACTTTCCAACCAACAAGGGAACCCACAGCCGGAGCGACCAGCCAGTTCTCCGGATGAGCCACAAACCGTCCCTGCCGACCCTCCGCAACCAACCACTCATTTACCTTTTGTCATGGCATACGACTCGGACCTTCTCGCGCAGCAATTCACTATTGTCGAAAAGGATGCATTGGACGAGATTGACTGGAAAGAGCTCATCGAACTGCGTTGGAAGCAATCTTCGCCACAGATCCGTGACTGGGTGCAATACCTACGAACTGAGGAAGCTAGGGGTGTTGATGTCGTCATTGCACGCTTCAATCTTGTCGTCAAGTGGATTGTATCCGAGTGCCTGCTTACGGAAAACATCTACGAACGTGCCCAATGTATCACCAAGTTCATTCACATCGCCAATCACGCCCGACGATATCGCAATTACGCCACGATGTATCAGATTGCGATTGCCTTGATATCCAACGACATTTCGAGTCTCAAAAAGACCTGGGCTCTGGTCCCTGCGGCTGAGATGCTGGTTATGACTGAGCTGGAAGCTGTAGTCCAGCCCATGAAGAACTTCCATAACCTACGACTCGAGATGGAAACAGCCTCTGTCGAGGACGGCTGCATTCCATTCATTGGTCAGTGCTGTTATGTTATCAATCGTATCAAGACTAACCACCAACAGGCGTTTACACCCGTGACCTCATCTACAACGCGCAAAAGCCTGCATTCATTGATGCACCGCCAGTCGACGGCGAACGCCTCGTCAACTTTGACCGCCACCACACGGCCGCCACTATTGTCAAGAACCTCCTGCGTCTGCTCGAGGCCAGCTCCAAATATACGTTCAAGGCCGAACCCCACATTCTCAGCAAATGTCTTTGGTTGGCTGCGCTCAGTGACGAAGAGATACATGAGCGCAGTCGCCAGTGCAAATGATTATTATACCCACTGAGATTCTGCTCTTATGCATTCGCTTGTCATTCTCTTGTCATCCGCCTTTGAGTGGATCGAACCCTTAGTTCCCGACCTTGCTTTTTTTTACCTTGTCTCTTTGCTAATACCCATTCTGCGCACTGTTGGCGCTGCATCAACCCGACACGATGTCATGACTCTATACTACCCACCTGTTGTTTTTATACCTTCACTCGGCCCTTTGGGACCACCACCGAATCAGCACTTTCTACTCGTTAGATCTAATAGCTCACGCGTGGGGAAGATATCATTGTAATTTGGAGCGTTCAGTACTCAGTACAGTAATGGCAATGTACAGGAAGGCGTTTGATATCACAAACACATGTACAGACCAGAAGCACATACCGTCGTCTGATATTCAATATTATATAATTATCACTTTGATGCTACATGCATACTCTATTATAAGCCTGCATTTTGATGACATCGGTGACAAACGACACATGATGTTGCCCAATAGCTTCAATCTCGTGATTCAGGCCAACCGCATATTGGACTGGACGCCTAGTAGTGGGGCCAGCAAGGCTCACATGCGGCTGCAGAGTGGACACCGCTGCTGGTCAGCCTTACTGCCTGCGAAGGTGCCAGCCACAACTTCCACACAACATAACAGTCATGCGCGCACACCATGGCGACTGACAGGTGCCTCCTGCGATGTCTGCGACACGGCCACCGTACTGTTCCGTTACAGAAGCTGCTCCATGCCACCTTTGATGCTGTCCTCCCACTGCACTGCATCGTTGTACAATCCACATTTCGCTAGGGATCCTTGAATGAGGTCCAAATAAGCCAAGCCGCTGCAACCTCAAGTGACCGCACGAAGCTTCTGGCAGTGTAAAGTATGTCCGCGTCGAGAGCCCCGGGCTCTAAACCACCCTCCCCGCCTTTGCCCTCGCGCATCACTGTGCAGGATAATACATCGACAGACGAAGAACCGCTACCGAGTCCCGAGCTCGACGATATGGATTGTAAGTTGTTCCAATAAGATAAGAAGGGAGCATAGAGAACTTCCGGTGTCTTTGCAAATCTGCTCGAAGATTTATTGGTCCTTGGTCACATCACCATGCTTTTCGGCTTAGGTGTTGTACTAAGGAAAGGCGCGAATCGCAGCTCAGACTGATTGCTGACTGTTAAAACAGCGTCACGAGCTTATACGTCTGCGCGCGAACCTGTCAACTTCGGAGATTCTCAAGCACAGCCACAGGGAAACCGGAGAGCCACCTTTGGCCACCGCCGTAAGCACAGTCCCAACCTCGAATGGCGCCAGCCGTGGACCAAGGATAGTTGGCAGCAAGGCCGCGTACTGCTCATAGATTACGTTGCCAAAGTACATTCAGATGGCAGAAGGAAAATCGTAGCTCAGGAATTCTGCGATATTGATAGCCTACGCCGCTTCTACCGTAAGGAGGATCTTGCCGGCCAGGCAGCTCTACGCGTCATCCACGTTCAAAACGCCAGCTGGGCGACGCGTTTCCTTCTCCGCAAGTTCAACATCGACGCCAACGATGACCTTGTAGGCACAAGCTTTGGGCGCTGGGTGCGTTACGAGAAACCACAGCAGCGTGGTGGTAAACCTGTGCTCAATGGCCGGACTTTTCGCACCTCACGTGACCCATGGAGAGGCATATCACGTGCTGCGTTTGGCGCTGATTATCTGAAGCCATACGATAGGTATACACGTCTGCCTTTCCCTGGCAGCAACAAGTCTATCATGGAGCTCAATCACTATGATGAGGAGGACCAGCCAAGATACGGCTTCGACGTTTATGTGCAGCGGCTGAGTGTCTATGTGCAATTGAGTGACGGCACGCCTGGACAAGCTGTCGACCCCGACATACCGAATCCATATGATGAAGAGGCATGGGATGAGTACATGCGGCTGAAGAAAAGCTATGGCAACGTTGATGCCAACGAACACCCGGATAAGTACATTCCCAAACTCAGATCCCTGGACAATGGAAATACGATCATCCTGTTTGAGAACTCGGTCACTGGCTCCGTCAAGGATACTCTTGTCGGTGCAAGACAGGAGATTGAGTCGAGATGGAGGCGTCTGTCTTTCTATCTGCCTACGGATAATGAGGAGAATTTGACGGCCGAGTGTATGGATTTCATACTGCAGGATATCTTCAAGGCGTTGTCGTACAATTGGCAAAAGTTTATGGCCTTGTGCGAAACGCACGTAGGGATTCTGGAAGACAAGAGTAAGTTTCATCTTTTGGAGGCGGGTTCGTGATCTTGTAGTCGGCTTTACTAATAAGTTTTGTTTCTAGTCTACGAGAATCCCGCGGACGAGTCGCGAGCCCCTGAGCTCTGGAAAAACAGTGCGCAGTGGCTCAAAGTCGAGCGTCTGATATACATCCATCTCGACATCGTCAAGGAAATGGTCAGTCACTTGCATGACCTTGCTGGCACCAACCCCAAAGAATTACTTGGCCAGGCCTGGCTAGGCCTCATGCCAGAGGATATCGAAAAGTTGACTGGGCGATGGGAAAGAGATATCATACTACCAACGTCATCTTTGTCGGATTTGATGTACAAGAGCGTCGGGATCAGAGATGCTCGGCACTCCCTCCAACTAGGGCTCAGCATGTGGCGCCTGAGCTGGATCACATTCATGTAAGTCTTCTTACACCCTCTCCATGCTTCGCTGAGTTCACCATACCAACCATCTCACAGATTCCTCCCTCTCACTTTCACAGTCGGCTTTTTCGGTATGAACGTCTCAACCTTCGAATCCATGCCCGACATAAAATGGTGGTTCATCGTCTCCTTCCCCGTCCTCCTCACCGTCCTCATCCTCTGGTACGGCGTTAAGCACAGCCTCGCCAGCCAGCGCCAAAATCCTATTCGCCGCGGTGTCTATGAAGCCCTCTACCACGAACTCGCCACCGACCACTCTAACCTCTGGACCCGCCGCGGCCCACGCGACGACGTTGTGCCCGTGGGCTGGTGGGGCAGCGTAAAATGGCGCCTCATCACCCGCTGGTTCAGCAAAGACAAGACAAAGCTAGGCAAAGATTACGATCCAGCCAGCGAGGAATTCGGAACTTGGTCGCGCACGAAACGCTGGCTTACACGCCGCTGGCTAGATGAACTATCCATTATGCCTCTCCCGCAGCATTCACAACTGACCAGCGCCCCGAATACCGCGCAACCGAACATCCCACCGTCTTCAGACACAATGTCTTCCTACCCGCTTGACAAGGACTTGGGAGCTATAGGCGAGCTCCTCAGCATAGCCACACCCGTTGCGCTGGCAGAACTCGATCCCACCGCCGCGAGTCGTCTGCAGGGTAGAGTTCCAATTGAGCGACTGCGCAGCCTGAGTCCGTCGGCTGTTTTAGGAAGTAGGTCGAAGAGTAGGGAGAGTGCGGCGAGCAGTGATGGCGGTGTTATGGTGGAGGAGAAGAGCGAGCAGGCGGTTAGAGCGGATGTGGAGGCCGGGGTGGTGACGAGACTGGATGAGAGGGAGTTGAGGCCGTGATGTGAGAGTGGGTAGAGGGGGAGGAGGGGGGAAGTATAAGGGCAACAGTTCAGGTGGTTCGGGGGAAAGAAAGGGTGGTGTAAAGAAGGAAAAAAAAAGGTGTGAACATTGTCGAGTCTGTATTCTTCCAAGAATTGTAGTGTAGGTCTAGTCTATTAAACAGTACAATATTTCTATACATTACTTTCCATCTTCTTTTTTTGTTACATTCAACCAGAATCTCAATCATCCCCCCCCCCCCCCCCTTTGTCCTTACCTCAACACCTCCATCATATCATATCCCCAACACTTTATACCCGTCACCCCGCGGACCCTGCCATAGCAACCAAAAAAAACCCTATTTTAGCCACAAAGCCTAATTTGCAGCGCCCCCCCCCCTGGCCAACCTTGGAGTGGGCGTCAGATAGCTTCGGTCCGGTCCGGGGAACATCTCACCTGGGTCACCCGCCCCGATATGAATATGGGGGTGAGTTCTGTGTTTCAAGATGATTGGTAGAGTGTGATTACCTTACTTGGCAGTGTAGGATTGGCAAGGAGAGAGATAGAGATGATGATGATCCGGGAATGTGGGAATATTGGGGGGCGGGGATAAATAGTATGTCGAGTTACGATTTGATTAACCCCCAACCCACTGCTTTGGGCAAGTGTGAGTGCATGGAGGGGTTTTTTTTTTCGCTTGGTATTACGAGGGGGAGGAGGATTTCAATTGCGTTTGCTTCAATTATGTGACACAAGCTGCGTTCGGGGAAGAGGGGGGGAAGGCGGGCGCTTTCAAGTCTACTAGGCGAATAATGTGTGATTTATTTCATTTCATTCTCGAATGCCTCGTTTCTAATCCAGACTCTCCAGCAGCACACGCACTAGTGATCGGACCAGCGAACTTTGCCGACGCCGTGGCTGAAAATGCTGGAGACGGGGGGGCAAAGAAAAAAAAAGGTTTATGTACTATCCAGCCTATCCGAGACACACCTTCCCAGCGGACAGGTTTAACCAAAAAAAACTATAAATATCCTCAAGACATTATTCGACCTCTTTGTAAAATAAACTCGACCTCGCCTGCTTCCGACCTCACTACATACCTCGTAGCAAGGCGTTTGACACGAGGCTTCGGTGGGGGTATAAACATGGCAAGCAAAGAGGCAAACGGAGCCGCTGATTGCCCCAATTCCCCCCCTCGTAAAACTCGCTAGACTTTCATACAAGAGAATGAGAGATTATAAGAGAAAGAGAGGAGTCAATGAGACAAAGCAGGCATGAAGAAGAGAAGCTAAGCAAGCAAAACACATGGCCACAGATCTAGAGGCATACAATCTCAGATCGAGGAAACAAAAGAAAATCGAAACAAGAGCCCGCTGAAACGTTCCTCATGAAAAATGACACCTGACTTTGACGGCTCAACGGCTTACAGCGCCATACCAGGAACCGGCTTCCGATCAGGAATAGGAAGAGGGCCGGTAGGGGCGGGAGCATTAGGGTTAAAAGGACTAGGACCAGGAGCTGGGCCACGTCGTGGGTTACCAGCCCCACCTGCCGAGTTGGATCGTTGACGACCACCGATTTGAGGTGGAGGTGCCATCTGGGGTCCGCCACCGTAAGGACCGGGCGACATGGAGCGTTGCGGGCCAGCAAAAGGTGCGTTGCTGTTGGCACGGCCACGAGGAGGACCTTGCTGAGGAGCATTGCTGTTGGCGCGACCACGAGGGGGTCCTTGTGGAGGAGCGTTACCGTTAGGCTGCATTTGACGAGGGCCGGGGCTCATAGGACGAGGACTTTGGGAGTTCATAGCGGGCGAAAGAGGACGTGGTTGAGGTCCACCAGCTGGACCCATGGGTGGGCGGACAGGAGGGCCGCGCATGTTACCTGGGGGAGGGCCTTGACGGGGCTTGACAGGGTGCTTGGACAGACATGTACGGGGAACGACACCTTGCTGAGAGCGGTCCATACGGATACAGAGAGCCTGAAAATGATTAGTGGGTTGGTTCTGACAAAGTAAAAATGATTGCTTACCCATCCATCATCGTACTCATGAAGCATGCGAACAAGTTGGCCGGCGCGAAGTTCAAGTTCATCTTGCATAGAGGGCTTAAAGTCAAGTTGGACACGATGGACGTTGTTGGGACCAGGAGCGAGGGCCGGGCTCTGAGGGACGCTACCAACAGCGGCGCCAGCGATAGGAGGGGGACTAGTGGGCGCGGGACCAGGAGATGCGGGGAGACTTTCGGTAGCTGGGGGACTGAGCGGAGCGTTTGCAGAGTTGGCACTGGCTTTCGGAGGGACAGGGAGCTCGGCCGTAGGGGCTTGAGAGGTGGGAGGAGGAATTGACTTGGCTGCAGTCACGGCAACAGCGACAGGGGCAGCATCAGCGGCAGCGATCGCTGCAGCGGGATCAGCAAAACTGGCGCTGGGTCTTGACGAGTGCATGGCAGAGTTCAGCGGGGAGGCATTAGGGGGCGAATCCGGAATGGAGGCTTGCTGAGTATCGACAGCAGCCTTGTTTCCGAAGGGGTTGGAAGGCGTATCAGGATCTTTGAAAGGGTTAGCAGCGGGAGCGTTGGATGCTCCAGGGCGCTCCCAAGCACTCGTTGGGCGCTCAGCAGCTGCCGAAGGTGAGAGGCTCGCGGCTCCACCGGCTCCAGCAGCACCACCAGCAGCGACAGTGTTTAGCAAGTTTGCTGCACTCTTGCGCTGCTCGAAGCTGGGGTCGAATTGAGTAACAGGGCGAAGGCTCAAACGCGGTGCGGTCTCAGCGCTGTGGGCAGAACGAATGCTAACAGCTGGGGGTGCAGCGGCCACGACCTGAGGCGGTGGAGGAGGAGGCGCGCTTCGCATCTCCGTCTTCTCATTCTCCGCGGCGGCGGCGGCAGCAGCAGCAGCCATCTGCTTCTTCTTACGGCGGTACAAAAGGAGAATTCCAGTCAGGATGGCGCAGATGACGACAAGGATACCGAGGGCGAGACCAGCCATTGCACCAGTAGACATGCCACCGTCGGAGCCGGGGGCAGCAGTGGAGGAAGCAGTGGCAGAAATGGCGGCAGTGGCAGAGATGAGGCCTGCAGCAGATGAAGCCGGGCTTGGTTCGGGAGACTTTGTCGCGAGCATTAGGGTGGACGCTGTCTTGGTCGAGCTCGATGGCTGGTTGGTCTGGCGGGATGGCTGGCTGGTTTGGCGTGCAGGCTGGTCATTGTCGTCCGAGTCCTGGGTAGAAGATGGCCTTCTTGTGGGCCTAGCTGTCTCCTGGGGCTCGTCATCGTTCTGGGTAGCGGTAGTACTTTCGCGAGCACGGGTGGCAGGTGGAGGGAGGACAACTGGCTTCTGGGTGGGCGCAGGGGCGTCGTCGCCTCCGTCGGTGGCAATTACAATCTCGGTGACAATCTCGACGGGTCCTTGAGGTTGTCGGCGCATGAGATGCGCGTGGGCATGCTGGTAGGCCATGTCGTGGATCATGGCGGACAGGCGATTAGGGGTTTATGGGACTAGGTCCAAATATCGCTTCACGGGAACCGGCTCTTGGATTGAATGTGCGGCGTGGTGTTTGCAAGCAGTGAAGGCGGACTAGGTACGGCGTGGCGTGGGGTAAAGACCGTGATGGTGTTGATGTTTAGGTCGACTAGGCACTATACAGAAAAGAGGGTAAGTTGTAGGCGTGTGTAAAAGAGCGAAAGGCAGCGGGCGGCGCTGGGAACGAAGGACAAGACGACAACCCGGCCGCAGGAGTACGTGATGTCGTCAAGGGGGATTAAGAGGCGGCGTGAGGGTGAGCGAGCGAAGGGGCCGGCGAAGAAGGAAAGAAAGTAGTAGCAGCGCGGCAGAGACACACACTGGCACACACACAGGGCAAGAGCGACCATGCAGCCACGCTCGAAACGCCGGGGGGTGCCTTGCCAGGCCGAACCGTGGACGCTGGCCCGTGCGGCCTGTTCATCTTTCCTAGACAGGCGTTAGCCTGCGTCTAGCGCCAGGTACGCGGGCGCCCTGATTGGCCACCCCATCTAATTTCCAGCCCATCTTGACGCTCGTCGCCCGCCCTGGTCTGCAGATGGGCCGCCCTACACCCCTTATCACCCATCGACTATCAGCAAATAGCCACGCACAGCAACAAAGTTCGCTCCATGGTCTCGCGCTGACCCCATTCTTTATCCTACTATGACGTGGCTGTGGCATGCTGCGCCTTCTCCCTCTCTCAATACCCGCCGGCGGCATGGCGTGCTTGCGGAGCCACGCGGTACGAGGAATCCAGGACCTGCCAGCTCGTAATTACCGTGCGGCTCCATGGCACATACTGGCTGCTTTCTTGGGCCGGGCTCCGGCACGTCGTAATTTCGCTCGTCATCAAAGCGGCATGCCAGCGCCGCAATGCCACACCCGAGGCTAATGCCGGGCTGTATGCTTGCGACAGTGGCTGCGCTCGCGTGCTCTGCTCTACCCAAGTATTGACCCAGGTACAAATGTACAGGGTATTGCCCACATCACACTGCTCGATGAGCGCACGCGGGGTATCAGAAGCAATCACATATAGCAAGGATGCCTAGTGGCCGTTGGAGCCACCACGAGCAACACCCATGTCCACAACAAACAAACAAAACATACGTCAACAGTGCTCTCAGTGGGTTATTCCGAGCACGAGGCTGAGAAGAGCGCGCTTCTGGCTATAACTTGGTGTTCCATGCTAGCTTCTGAAGTAATATACCTACAGAGGCCCACGCTACTTTAGCCAGACCCAGTGGCGCTTGGGGGCGAAGATAGAAAACAGCCAATGCTTTGGGGCCGAGAACATCCGGCGCCACGCATAGCGTAGCTTTTGTGACTGGAAAAGCCCTCTTTATAATCATTTTGTTTTGAAGATTAGTCATCAAAAACACCTCCAGCCTTCCTAGCTCAGTGGTAGAGCGCGTCACTAGTAATGACGAGGTCGTCAGTTCAATTCTGGCGGAAGGCACTCTTTTTGCTACACGAAACTGGTTCTCCCCACAAACCACCACCATGGACCTCTAGGGCAAAATGAACATAATTTTTTGCCCGTGACATTCTTGAGACTCACGCGCTCAATTCCCAAGATATCTGCGGGTCTGCTTGCAATCGTTTGAATATATGGTTGGTCCCAGACATATCTTCAGCACAACCCTCGACTGTTCCAAACCACGTGAGCAGTTCACGTAAAATGCACTAAGCCTCAACATGGCCGTTGCTTGCCAGATTTTCAGACATTGTGTTAATGCGGAAGAAGGTCCGCAGGCTAGGTTGATACTTCGCAAATTGATAACGCTCACCAGACCAAAAAAATGTGTCATTTGCAGTCCGGGTGTTTGATACGGGAGTTCCTTGTAGTAAACGTGAAGCGGCAGGTGCTCAAAGTAACGGACCCTTTGATGACGGTCAAGTGAAAGACCCTGTATGAAAGACATTAACCCCATGGTTCAAGAAAGCGGGGCCGTCATCTCAAAAACATTTTCTGTACGGGTCGCACAAGATGGTTTGGTGGAGCGTTCGAGCGGTGTACGTATGCGAGGTGCTAGAGGCTGACTGATAGTTGGTGGGGAAAATCTTGAGAGCTTGGGCACAGGATAAGTGGGGCGAGCTACCTACTAGCGCCTGGTTGCCAATCCGCATCTTCTTCACATCCCAACATCCCGAGATCTTGAATTCACATGGAAGCAGGAAAATCCAGCAATCGCACGCCATAGCAACATCCCAAAGCTTTCCCTGGGATCGCGAAACTTACCCTGCCAGGTCGCCGGGACGACTCGCACTGTTACACCACGCGCTGGCATCTATTAGAGGATCAGGATTCCGAGTTTAATTGCAGGAAAGGCGTCGCGTCTCGAACACATGGCCCGCACGACTCCTATTCAAAACAGGCCATACCGTTCGCATAAAGTACCAGCATGTACAAGATGTCGTTCACGAAAAATCCGTTGTCATATCGATATCCCTGGAGAACCATGTCTGTCGTGTCGAGAAAGACGACTTAAGTGTCAATATGTCGAGGGCTCCAGCACGAGTTCTCCTACCGAAGAAGGCTCAGATAAAAGGCCTTCGAAGCGACGCCGGCACAGCGAACCGGAGGAAGGGCCATCTAGGCCTCGCTCGGCCCCAATCTTACATAAGAATGTTAACAATCCCTCGGCATCCATCATGCTTGCGCCACATTTTGCGGAGGACATTGATATCTTCAACCGTCACATTTCGCAACACCGAAAAGCTGGCGGTGAGACCGAGCACTCCAACTACCAGACCTTGTTGCATGATGCTAAAGATCCGGTCGTGTATCTTACGGTGCCGAGGTTTCGAACCGGTCTACCGCCCAACAGCGGCTGTGGAAGAGAGCAAGTGGAAATTGTAGAACAGATCATGGGACCCTTTAGGCGGGAAGTCGTCGAACTCTACTTCAGCGAGATCCACTTTCATCTCCCCATTCTAGATGACGAGATGTGTGAAACGCTACGAACGGACCAATACGCCAAAGTGCCAAACAACCTGATGTGTGTCATCTATGCACTTGCATCGGCGCATTGGGCCAAATCAGATACACTCAAGATGCATCCTAAGCCAAATTCATATTACGTTTGGAACAAGGCCATTTCAGCGACTCTGGAAGATTTCCTTAGCCCGGGAATGTCAACCATACAGGCCGCAGTGCTCGATCAAGTCGGCCGTCCTTCGGTTTCCATTATCGGCAACATCACTCTCTGTGGACGGACTGTATCCTTGGCACAAACTTTCGGCCTTCATAGAGATCCCTCAAAATGGTCAATTACAGAAAACGAAAAGTCGCTCCGAATACGGCTCTGGTGGTGCGTTCTCATCACCGACCAATGGTCTAGTGTAGCATATGGCGCGCCCCCTTATGTTTCGAAAGGCTACTACGACGTTCCGCGGCCAACCGTCACATCACTCATCGGAAATAGGGCCAGCCCACAGCAGAAGCAAGCTACTACTTGTTTCATATATTTATGTGGCCTAACCGAATTACTCGCGGAAATCTTGCCTTTTGTCTATCAGATCAACCCAGACCGACTACAGCTTTCCCGGGAAATCGATCGCTTCAAACTAGAATTGAACAACTTGGAATCACAGCTTCCCGAATGGCTTCCTCTACCAAATCGCCCAGGAACTGCTATGCTTTGGCTCTCATTTCTCTCAATCAGACTTGTTCTTGCCCGTGTAATCTTCCGCGCAGCAGTTCTCGATGGTGATGGCAGCATTGGCCGAAATCGCATGGACCAATTACGTATCGCATCTTCGGCTGTTCTCGACTTCATACTTGCTATGGGCGAAGCCCAGTTTTTGGACTTTTGGCTGCCATACGCAACTCACCTCTTGGTGCATGCCATCACGGTATCACTTCGCTGCACCGTCGAGACGCAGGATTCCGAAATACGAAATACGTCTGTCACACGCCTTGAGCGCGTCATTGCGCACATCCAGCATGCTCGGGACAACTTTGAGTGGGACATTGCAAATTACTGTCTGGAACGGTGCGCCGATCCAGTATCAAAGATTGCCTCACTAAATGCAAGAGAAGTACCACAACCATCGGAAACAGAGCCTACAAGCGTCATCTCAAATGGCAATGGGACTGAAATGCATACGATGCCTAACTTTGATGACGCTTCTTTCCTGCTGTCGGACATCTTAGATCCCAACGCATTCGATTTCTCCTGGGATGCGTTGTGGGACACCCCGTCTGGCATGACAAATTTTTCCATCTGAGAGTAGATGAGCGGCGAGGTACAACGACTTGGAAAAAGGAAAAAACTGGAAGTTTCAGTGCGAAACGATCTATCAACTAATACTATGCTAATGAGCGGAAATGATTTGTTATGCTTCTTCCTCCATGTAGGTAGTTATTCTAACGAAGATTCTACGATCAAGTATGATAGGCATGTAAAAATTTGCTGTGCAAATTAGATTCATTTCAGACTTTTGACATTGCCTGTATTTTTCGATCAAGATAAAATAACTCTCTCTACTCATTTGTGACTCCATTGATTGCTATATCTCCTTACGTACTCTGTGCTGTGTAAGCTGATGTTTTAGGACCGATGTCGTGATCCGCTAGTGGCTCTCCTTATTGGCCACCTCCCTAGCCTCAATGTGTGACCCACATCAAAGTCTGTAATCAGTCCACCTGAATGGGACCACTTGATCTGTACCTCAACCCCCCGTCTGACATTACGATCTTTTTTCTTTCTAACCAAGCCGAAAGACCCACAAGGGAGAGGAATTGGAGTAAACGCCAACCATGTTCTGCGCTCGTATTTCCAAATCAGCGGCACCACGCTCTCTTGTCAAGACCAGCCATGTGGCACCATCTTTCATTCGGAATCTTGCAACAGTCTCACCAGTGCAGACGGCTACTCGTAATCACAAAATTGTTGTGATTGGCGGTGGTTCAGCTGGTATCGCTCTCTCCCACCAATTGCTTCGCAAAGGGAATTTTGCCCAAGACGATATTGCCATTGTTGATCCCGCGGAATGGCACCACTACCAACCCGGCTGGACCCTTGTTGGCGGTGGTCTGAAAAAGAAGGAAGAGCTTCGACGCCCACTAAAAGACTTGATCAACCCCAAATTCAAGTTCTACAATACAGCCGTAGGAAGCCTTAACCCAGATCAAAACTACATTACTACTGGTGCTGGAGAGAAGATCGGGTATGAGCAACTTGTCGTCGTACCTGGAATCACGCTGGATTATGGAGCCGTCCCCGGTTTGAAAGAAGCGCTGGAAGAGAAGGAATCAATGGTTTCTACCATCTACGACTATGCGTACTGTGACAAGGCGTATAGCAATATCCAGAAGTTCAAAAAGGGTGATGCGGTGTTTACCCAGCCAGCCGGTGTAGTCAAGTGTGCGGGCGCACCACAAAAGATCATGTGGCTTGCATTAGACTACTGGAAGTATGCTGGTTTATACAACCATACATCTTCCAGCGAATCACCAATCAAAATTGCGTTCGCAACTGGCTTGCCGAAGATGTTTGGTGTAGACAAGTACGTTCCGAGAAAGCCCCCAACCTCGACCTTTCATGGCCATTTTAATGCTAACATAACCCCCTAGGTACAGCCAAACCCTCGAAAAACTCCGCGTAGAACGCGGAGTGCAAGGCCTCTTCCAACACGACCTAACCTCAATCTCCGGCAACACCGCCACCTTCAACGTCCCCAACCAAGATCCCATCAAACGCCACTTCGACTTCCTGCACGTCGCCCCGAAAAACGTGCCCTGGCCCTTTGTTAAAAACAGCCCGCTAGCCAACGACGCCGGCTACGTCGCCGTCTCAGACAGCACAACGCAACACACCAAATACCCAAATGTGTGGTCCATCGGCGACGCCTCCTCGCTCCCCACTAGCAAAACCGTCGCAGCCATCACCGCCGAAGCACCCGTCCTCGTATCTAACCTGCTCAGCCACATGCAAGGGAAGCAGCTAGAAGCCGAGTATGATGGTTACACGTCATGCCCGCTACTCACAGGGCAGAAGGAGGTGCTGCTTGCGGAATTCAAGTACGGGGGTGTGCCGAAGGAGACGTTTGGGAAGGTGTTGGGAGTTGATCAGGGGGTGCCCCGGAAGGCGTTTTATTGGTTGAAGAAGGAGTTTTTTCCCTGGGTGTATGGCAGGTATCATGTTAAGGGGGAATGGGCGGGGCCGAAGGGGTTTGCGAAGTGAGGGTATGGAGAGGGTTTAGAGGAGAGAGTGATGCTGGGGTTAGCATGTCTGCTCGCTGCACGAGGAAGAGAGGGGAATACCTTTAGCAAAACCAGTCGAGCTGGTGACTTCGCTTTTGGACATTTTAAAAGCTCAGTAGTAGCTATTGCAGCTATATATTCATAGATAACAGAAGCTAAATATGGGCGAGATCGTGGGCAAGCTGCACAAAAGCACAGACCGCAATTCCTTTGTGTAGTATAGGTTACACGAACTGTCTACCTACATAATCTTTGAGCAGCTCAGCCTACTGAGCTATGAGATGGATACCAGCTGAAAACCATTGCTGTCTTCAAGCCAATAAATTTATAGACAGCTGTACCAAAACTTTTCTTAACGCCCAACAACTAGAACGTACCTTCTTCGACACTAAATTTTGAACAACAAAGAGCAGTAATATGGCAACCACCCTCCGCCTTGACGGCCCTCGAGTGACTCCACACGGTTCAGAGAACGGTATATCAAGTGCACGCACAAATAAATATCTTCGAGGGTTGATATGATGAAATAGTAGAAGAGGTGGCGCAGAAAACTATAGTGTCTTACGCAACACGAGCGCTCGTGCCGTACAGAAGGGACGAAGAACATCCATACTTACACGGAGGCCAGGCTACTGTGTTCAGAGCAACTAAAACGTTACCATCGAGCGGACTTCGACGCAAGGTTGATATTTTCGCCATCAAAGAAATACCTATTGGGGACAGAAAAGCTCGCCATCGGTTGCGAAAAGAGATCGAACACCTTCGGCTTTGTCAACACCCAAACGTACTCCAGCTCAAGAAGGTATACATAATTGAGAAAAAAGAGTGGATGGACAGGGTATTCCTTGTAACACAGCCGTAGGCGCAAGCATCGCTGCAAAGACTGCTAGAAGAGATAGCAAATTCCCGCGATGGCATGAGCCGACTATGCCCATGGTACAAATCCCATGGTCTTGACCCTTGGCCCAGTGTTGTTTGGCAATGCGTTCTTGGGCTCGAGCATTTACGTAAAAATAAGATTCGACACAAAGATTTGAAACCAGACAAAATTCTTCTAGTCGATGAGTCGGACGGTGCTTCGCTGGATCCTAAAGTCCGTGCCGTAATTGCGGATCTCGGGATAAGCAAAGGATACGTGGAAGCCGAGAACACCACCTTCAATGGGACAGAGCAATATCTTGCCCCCGAACAAAAGGCTCAAGCATCGAGTACCTATCGTTCCGACATTTTTTTCGCTCGGTTGCAGCATCTCATGGATCCATGCCCTTCTAAGCTCGAAGCGGTGGGAGCTGTGCCAGGAGAACGAACAGGGTATCTTCCAGCTAGAAGAGCTATGCCAAGTTGGTTTCTCCTATAGCTTCAATGAGGTACCCCCTCTCTTGGAACAGCTGCGCCAAAATCTTGACGATAACAAACAACCAGACACAGTCGGGTTTCTCGTTACTCTAGAGGACATCATCACATCCACACTGCTCGAACAGCCTGACGAGCGACTAAGCCTACAGTCGATTCTTGCAAAACTGGATGATTACGACGCTTCTTGGCTACAATCGGGGTCTTTCAAGATGGTCGATCTGTGCATCACTAGCGGCAATCACACTCAAGTTCTGGAAATCGATTTCTCTTTCGTCACAAATGATGCAGAGGCTTTTAAACTTATCAGAAAACACTATTCGAAGGCTATCTTTTACCACAATCTGGACTGGCTCCGGTGGCCTGAAGAAGTCTATTTAATAAAATTCTCGTCAGCGAATGCATTTGAGGTTCTCGAATGCACATCTACACTTTGCAAAACTAGTTTACATGCCGGGGGGTACCACGATGATCCCATAAGAGAAGGGCGTTTTGATGGTCGTCTTTTAATAGACTGCCTTGAGGGCTCGTTTACATGTGATCCTGCTTTATCAGACCACCAATCTGGGATGCTTCCCAAACGACGTGTGATTATCCATCACCACAGAGACGGATCAAAAACAATCTCGACTATCCAGGGTCCTCGATTGGGGGTTCATATTGTCAAAACGTTCCCCTTCAGTGTTTACTCTACCATAGTCGCTTTCTCTTTGGCTCCATTTGTAGTTGGATACTTGATTTACTACTCGGATCAGATTCCTCCAGAAGGTATCATTTTCTCTCTATTTGTATATTTCGAGTTGGTAATCGTGCCAGCAGTTTTGTCTCTATTTTATCGATATGCTAAGCAGCTAGGTCAACGGCTTAGCAGACACGATCTTCTTGAGGCTGAGAAAAAGCGGGACCAAGAGGCAAAGAGTAATGCAAATTTGGACACGGAGCAAGGCACGCGGTGGGAATCGAACACGAGCTGCCAGGCCAATGGCCTAGGGCGACAAATATATGATATAGATCAAGGAAAGCTTATTCTACCTGATTTTCCTCGGATGCACTGCAGACAGTGTTGGGAGATGAACGGGTATAGTCGGCTAGTAGGGGGGAAATGGATTCAGACGGATTCGAGACAACTTCAATGTCGTTGTTTTTGTATTCTCTGCAGTTGAATAACAATTGAACAATAACTACACCGAACAAAACTACTAGAAAGCTAGACTCTATCCCTCCCAACCCAACCCAGGGGACAGAATTCCCGGGACTCAGCGAAGACCTCACGCCCTATCAAAAGCGACAAAGCGCGAGAACTTTAGGGACTTCAAAGCTCTGCGTTGTTACTATAGAACCAAAGGGATAACAATCTGATAAATTAATTATGTGCACAATACTCTAAAGTGTTAAATTAAGATTTTACAAACCTTCAAAAGTGTAGGTAGCTAACATGAATAGCTATAAACTACAAGGTATTCGTGTGACCTGGGATTTCCATCCACCGGGTGCCCCCCCCCGTAGTATATCGAGTGTGCTCGTTTCCTATCATATTGATTGGATGCAATCACTGTGATCCTCGCTTGTTTTGGCGCGAGCAAACATTCCACCTGGGTCTGAAGCCGGCGTATATGTCCGCTAAGCCGCTAAGCCAGCTGCTTAGAACATCAGATAGCAACGATGGTACGCGATTACATCGAATGATACGATGTTATTAGTACACGAGTCGATCGTTACTTGTAGTGTGAATTATTCTCGGGCCTAAGAACGTTGCTACTAGTATCATTTAATATCGTGTATTCACTCTCTCTTTGTTATGGCCTCCTCTGTTAGTAATAGTCAAAGTACCTCGTTACTCTTCTTAGCACATAGTGTTTGTTGCTAAAGCAGTGGGGCATGTTCAGACCCCTCTAGGGTGGCCACGCACACCACAAGAGCACTGGCTCAACATCAACAACCTCACAAGCAACATTACACATGTAGAGAGAGTCAAAGGATTACATTCAATCATATATACATGGCATTTGTAGTTTTCCTTTTTTTTTTGCAGTCCCAACTTGGAACCCCACCGTTGCATCCCACTACAAATGCACCCCTCCTTGCCCGCCAGCATTTCCCCAAATTACAAGCGCGACAATCCGGCAATTTCCCTCGGGGCATGGTAATTAGGCACCTTCATGTCGAGAGCGCTACCACTGTAGCCCAGGTCCTCAGCAGTGAGCACAGCGCACTTCTCGCCAATGAGGAGTGCAGTCGAGTACGTGTTGCAGCCGACGTTGTCGGGGCAGATGGAGAGATCGGCGACCTTGAGGCCCTTGACGCCGTGGACATTGAGGCGCTCATCCAGGACACCGTGCTTGACGATTGAGTTTCCGTTCTTGGGAGCCATGGAGCACGTGCCGAGGGAGTGCCATGTGGTTTCGACGTGGCCTGTGTAAGCATAGTTAGTAAAACAAAACTTGTACTTGGTATTGTTGAGGTGTTGATTATGGGTGGGGGGGGAACGTACGCTTGACCCAGTCTTCAATGTGCTTAATGTCCTCGTTGGAGTAGTGTAGGTCCTCAAAGACCTCTTGCGAGTTGGAGTTCAAGTAGGTAGGCTCGGGGGCGCGGCCCTTTTCCACAGGAAGGGTCCAGGATCCGTGCTGGATATTGGCGCTGAGGTTGCCAGGGAGTGCGTATGCGTTGGTGGTTGCGAGATCCATATCACGTGCGCGGGCAGGGCTGTCATAGGCATAGAATGGGTGCATGGCCTGGACTTCTCCAGCGTAAGCTTCCATGCGGCGAGCAGTCTCACGTGATTTGATGTATCCCCAGACCATCGGGGCCATGTCACGCTTGTCGTTCATGAAACCGGCGTCAAAGTCGGGTGCCTCGTATGGGTTTGGCGATACAATGTGTGTAGATCCACGAGAGAAAGGGTATTCCAGGAAGTGGAACATTGTGAAGAACTTGCCGGGTGGCATAACCATGTGGTCACCGAACCAGCCAGCAATGACCGAGTAGTGCATAACTGGCTTGTCGGGCTTATCCTTGAAGTAGGACTCCCAGCCAGAGCGGAACTCCTTACAGGGCCAGCTGTCCATCATCTTGAGTTCTTCCTCAGTAGGACGGATCTTCACACCAGCCTCAATGCCGTTGGTTGCGAGTGGGCCAGTGCCGTTGATGTTCCACTGTTGGAAGACTTGCTCTTGCACCTTGGGATCACCACGAATAAAGTCGTCAAACGACTCTACATGTGGCTTTGCGCGGTATGTGGCGAACGTCAGGCTGTAGATATGTCAGATACACTGTACTTCAGCAGCCCTGATGTAGACTTACTAGTGATCCTGGAAGTTGAGACCAACACCAGGAAGGTCGACTAGGGGCTTCACGCCAGCCTTTCGGAGCTTCTCTGGGTCACCAATACCGGAACGCTGAAGAATGAGTGGTGAACTCATGGTACCACCCGAAACAATGATTTGCTTGCGGGCACGGATAGTCCTTGACTGGACCTGTCCGGGTGAAACAGGCTTGGTAGGAACGACCTTGACGCCGACGGCACGGTCACCCTCGAGAATAACCTTTGATGGAATGTCAGCAGCATCAAAGCATCATGAAAAGAAGCGACATACCTTGTCAACCTTGTTGCTGGTCAACAGGTGCAGGTTCTGGTGAACGGCACGAGTGCTGTGGATGTAACCGTGAGCAGAGTCAGAGCGACGTCCGGTGTCACGGTTGATCCACTTGAGCCAGTGCTCAGCACCGTGGCCGGTGACCAGATCTTGAAGATCATCGGTGGTGGGAATACCTTGGGATTCGGTGGCACGTAGGAAGTCTTCCTTGATAGGATATGTGTAGTTACCGAAAGAAACCTTAATAGGTCCCTCGAATCCGTGGATGTCACGGTTGTTGCAGGCTCGCTGATAAGTCTCGTGCTTCTTCATGAGGGGAAGGAGTTCCTTGGTGGTCCAGCCCTTGGCCTGGAAGTCATCGTAGTCGGAAGCAGAGGCACGAGTGTACATCTGGGTTGCGTTAATACTACTACTTCATCTAGTCTAATCATAGCAAGCTCACCATGAAATTAATGGAGGATCCACCTCCAAGGATGTGTGCACAGGGCACAACAGCACGGCGTCCATCGAGCCATTCCGAGGGTCTAGAATAGTAGAAGGAAGCAGTCTTGCTGTCCAACTTCATGTTCCTAGGGTAGATACCCGGGCGGAAAACCCATGGGTTGTTAAGATTATTCTCACCAGCCTCAATCAAGAGGACCTGGAGGTTATGGTCAAGATTGGCCAAACGGCCAGCAACGACACACCCGCATGAACCTCCACCACAAACAATAATATCAACCTTGCAGTTGTCAGTTTATGAGATGACATTGTTGCAAGCCAATGCTTTGGTCATCATACCTCGTCCGGAATCGTCATTTTACTGGCTCAATGAAAAGTCAAATTGTAATTGAAACGGTTTACACTTGCTAGAAGTTGACCGCGGTGAGCAAGTCAACTGGGCATGATAGAGATCTCACAAAGGCAGAAACGACGTCCCTTTAAACTGTCAAACCCCGCATGTCCAGGATCTCGACGTTCAAAGAGGACCCACTCTCTAGGCTGTGCCACTATGCACTTTCAATAGCCGTCCATCCGAATAGTAGCACGGTGCATGCATTGTGACGAGGGATCATGTACCAATACCCCAGCTTCCCCACTCAAACAGGGGTGGCATACAGATTCTAACTTCTGCTGGAGTGCATCGTGAGCCCCTGTCCAAGGCATTCAAACAAAGGCGAAACTACAAAGTTGCGGATCCGCAGAAGGATGGTTGTTCTACCGACGAGATACAGGGGTGAGTCTAGAGATGATGATTGGCCCAAGGAGCTAGGATAAAGCTGTTTCCCGGAACTAGGGTACCGGCCAGAAGCGGACGGGGGGTGTGGATGCTGCAGTGGTCGTATACTGGTAAACTGGGTGCGGAGAAGTATCACATCCAGTAAGGAGAGATGCTTGGTTGCGTGTGCAGGCCCACCGTCAGATGTAAGCTGTGCGGAGCCGGAGCTGGGAGGTGAATATGGCGCGTTCAGGCTTTCAATTCCAGCGTATCACGTCCTAGAAGAGGAGATAATGTACACGTCCTTGACTAGCAGCGAGGGACACGTGCAACGAAGCAATCGATACGAGGCGCGGACCAACAATGATCTACACGAACTCGAGTTGCTGGGGATCGTGGGGAGTTGATGCGGAGGAAGTGGTACGGTAGCTGGCTGCGTCGCACCGTTTGGAGCTCCCTGGAGCTTCCCCGTCATACCCGGATGACGGCTCTTGGCTCCCATGTGCTTGCGGTAAGTTCTGTTGGGCGCACGTTGGTCTGCGGGGGTCATGCCGCGCTGACATTGTTTTGGATGCACTTCTCTCTCGCTCGTGGAAGAATGCGGATGTGGGGTGCAGGACTTCCTGTGCCTCATGCTGAGGGGTGTGGCTTGGCGTGAACACTAGTGCCGGAGAGTGCGGGAGAATGCGGGGTTAGTAGGTTAGTAGCCCCGCCCCAGCGTACCGGGAAGTGATAGACCAGCCACTGCAACCATCTCCTCAAAAGCCGTGTTATGCACTGCCGTCAACACATCTCACCACAAGTGGTGGTATGTGTCGGCTGCTGAATGTCTACTGAGCTGCAAACTGTGTGACGTCGTCTTGTGCGGCTGGGCACGATCCCACTCCAGAGCGTAGTCATTGTACATTGACTCGCAAAAGCGAGCATCACCAGAGCTTTGGCTGTGCTCCTCAAGTCTGCATAATATTGGCTGCGGGAATGCGGAGATCAGCAGACTCCTCAGCGCACCAAGGATTGCATGTTAACTGTGAATCTCATATGAGGTTGATCGATCGAGAAGCTACCTAGCAGTGCTACAAAGATCGCCCTATACCCATCGCCAATCCAATCCAAGCATGCAGCCTCGTGGTGTTCTCTGCGGCTCGAGTAGCTTTGCGTCAATTTCTTTTTGGCACACTCAAGTGTCAGAGGTCTCCAGTAAACAGCATTGCTGCAAGTCTCTTATGTTGAGGTTCGAGGCTGGGACAGCTAAGCAAGGGAAAGTACTAACTTTCCGCTGAGCGGTCGATTCCCTGTACAATGTAGTCGCGAGCCCTGGCTTAGTCGTAATCCCAAGGCCACTTGCTCGGCGGGGGTGCGTATTGTCGATCCGAGCGGTCCTATTCTAAAGTTTAGCAGCCTCAAAAGGTTTCTGGTCTAGCCCAGTAAGTCGCATGGCACCGAGACTGTGTACGGAATAGAGTGATTTCAGTTGTGTCGAACCATGTGTACATAAGCCGGTACCTAAGGTTCATTGGCCGCCATGCGCCCATATGAGAATCCGGTCAGCCCACAAGAAACTTTCCAATAATCTCGAGAACGCCCACAAGTCTAATAATACATGATTTTCGTATGTCAAAATATCTCCCAACGCAATAAGTTTATCGATCTTTCAATGACATCTAAAGTCCGCCAACGCCGAGGATGCATTTTGAAAGGAGTGTAGGTAAAAGACAGGGGAAGTACAAATGCCCAGCGGAATACGCATACTAGAGGAAAGAGGCAAACGGAATCCTAGATGACCTCGTGTCTTTCCCAGCCAGTTGGCTTTTGGTGTGCAAGGTCCTTTGTTGGGTGTGGCTCTTCCGGATTCCGATACTCGCTAACGTAGGGGTTGGGATCCTCCTTCTGATCGAGGTTACCAAAGGTGTGGTTGACTTCTCGATGCTTGCTTTCATCTGCGCGGACTGGGGGTGATGTTAGCGTGCTGTGCAATACATATTGACGAAAGCACACATACTGTAGAGAAGCAGATCCCGCATTGTACGGTGACCCTCTGGCATATGCCAGTAATCAATCGCAATCTCGGGTGCCTCCAACTTTTCCCATTTGGGAAGACGACCTTCGTCAAGGTCTTTGATCTGACGCGTGTATGTGATGACTGCTTCCTCCTCAAGGTATCCAATGAAGCGGTGGACAGTGCGAGGGCTTAGGAGGTAGGCGAAGAACAGGGCGTTGAAAAATACACCTTGTGCTCCAAGCACCATGAGGCGCATAAAGGGTCCTGGGCGTTGCATCTTCAGGAACACGAGCAGATGCATACGCTCGTTGTAACTCTCTTCAAGGAGTGACTCGATCCTAGAAAATGTGCATTAGTGAATATGCAATGCACATTGCGCCATAATACGTACCATCCATTGTCTCGCTTCATCCTACGCATCGAATGCAGGTGCCGCAACATACCGGCTACCATGCCAGGAACGCCTGCAACGCTCTCCAAGAAGACATTCCGAATCAAGTACTTTTCTTCCGTCATGGCGAACTGCTTTCGTGCTGCTACTGGGTCCTTTGTATCCACATCCACGGGCTTTGGGTGCTTATATCCCGTCACCCTATCGAGACCCCAGCGCAGCACCTTGACGGCGATCAGAGCAACTTTATCGGACATGGTCTTGGCTTCACGGTGAGCGACAATGACTTGGTTCATCTGCTCTTCGGTGTATACTGGGGAGTTGTCAGCTGCTGATGAGTTAGACGAGCTCAATGCACGCACCTGGATGTGGCCATGCTGCCTGAGTCTTGCGAACTTTTTCTGTCGGATGCTTCTCGAAAAACTCCTTGATCTTGGCTTCACCGCTGGGCGAAGAAGAAAAGTTTCGTCTAGCGTTTGGAGTTTTGAAGTGCTGGGTCATGATAAAGGTGGGTCGAAGTCCGGCATTGTAGCTCTGGAAGGACTTGATAAGTTGAGCGGTGCCCCGTTTCGAGGCTGCTGATCCATATATTGCTGCTCTAGTGGACATGATATATGGCGAAGAGTATGTGTATCAAAAGAAGTAAGCGGGGTGCTTAGGATATTGTCCAGGTGTAGTAGTGAATATTGATGTGTGGTATAGGAGACAACTGAGGCACTCATCCGTCCTTTAATAGTCCCTGATACAAAAGCAAACGAGACGCCGATAACCAGAAAAATCTTTGCTTAGTACTCGTGCTTTCCGTAGACAGCCACTGATGACGCCTAGTCACCAAGGGTGAAACAGGAATGGCCATGGGACGCCGTGGCAGCATTACGGCATCTCCATTCCACGGCAGCGCCTACGAGCAAATAGGCATTGTCTAAGATGCCGAGAGAGTAAGCGGACCTGTCGAGAACAGGAGCATAGGTCGCGTGCAGAGACGAGTCCGAAGCGGCTGAGCAATTCAATACTCAGCTAACGAGAAGAAACCGGAACCAGGCAGCCAAGCCTCCGACTTCCGATTGCAGACAATGGTCTAATACCGCTGCAAAACCGATGCCTGAAGCTGTCGTCGTCTTGTATGTAATAATGCTAGTATCGCAATTTCATAGTGAGCCGAAATTCGAGTTTTCTAGATGTTTTGAAGCCTAAGTTGACCGCGTTGGTCGCAGAGGATGTTTGGCAATCCATCCCGGGAGATGTTCGTCGGGCTTTCGGGGACTCGCTACTACTATCCACCAACAAAGACCCGACCCACCTGCACCCTGAAAACCCGGCAACCACGATGACCTGCATCTATTCACTCATGAACTAAACGCCACCTGATTGGGATTCCAAAGCCAGTGAAAACCCTGTCCGCGCTCGCGCAATTGAAGTGCTTGCCATCAGTACACTGTATGTCAAAGGCTACCGAAAACAACAATGACAATGGCAATCCAGTGTAGCCAGGTGCATCCCAGTTGAACACGTGAAAACTTGGTAGACGAGCAAAGCGATGCCTATCTAAAAGACACTAACACATGTTCTAGAAGGGTTGGAAGAGCGAGTGAGCACTTCTGTGCCGGGTACGCGGGATAGCGCATGTTGCAGCTCATCCATACTATGGCGCAATGCCGGAGCTTCTGTTTTCGGTTAAAAATACGCGAACCCGTAGCTTCGTGATCGGATGTGTGATACTTACGAAGCACAGAGAGATAGCCACGTTGTCTGCAGCAAGCTCAGGTAAGGATTTGAAGTAGTACAATAATCTTTAGTATTATTGGCTATTGTTTTACCTAGTTGTATACTGTAGGCCATAGGACGCGTGTGAGGCGTTTCGCGGGTAGACACAAAAGATGTCAGTTGAAGTGAATTAACATGAATCGTTAAGGAGCAACCTAAAGTTTGGACAAGACTATGTACTATATACACGTAACTGGGGCTGCCCTGGCCCAAGGGGTACCCGATGGATACTCGAGGGTTGTCCTCCAGTTCCAAGTACCGTGACATTCCGATCGACTGAGAGCCGTGTTACTAGCTTACGCCAGTAGCATGGTCTGATACTTAGTTAGAGGTTAGCCTGCCTAAGGCTTATGTCTAATTGGGATCGAATACAAAATTTAAGGGGCTCCGCTCTAGGGGACAATCGCGAGGTATAAAAGAGGTTGCATTAGATAAGAAGCTATCTACTCGTTGGCGAGAAATTATGCTGAAGTATCTGAGCGCGTCGTCTGAGCACCGCTCATTTAGTTCAGATGGCGCGTGTGCAGCTTGAACCGAGATCCCATCCAAGGAGCTATCTAATGGGCGTTTAGCCCAATATATCTGCAGCTGTTTAGTTAAGTGGAGGCCTGCAGGCCGAAGGATTTGTGTTGCCTTGAGAGCTAAGTATCAGCTCATCTGTAGTCATGCTGCTGATGGTTTCAGGACTTACAGTCTGGAGGCCCGCAGAGCGTAGGATTTTCACGGCCTTGAGAGCTAAGTATCAGCTCATCTGTAGTCATGGTGCTGATGGTTTGAGGGCTTACAATTTACAGTGGTTGAAGAAGAACCGGCTGGAGCAGCAGCTACCAAAGATGCCGCAGCGAACAGTGTACACAGCGTCAGTTTGATGAATTGCATTGTGTGCAGAACTGTTAGGAAGGAGAGCCTGGGTAAGATTGTGGGTATGTGTGTTGAAGGTGATGATGAAAATCTTAGGATGAAGTGTCATTCTTATACTATTCTCGCCACTACCGGAAACTTGCGGAGTAGAGTTCCTTCCCGCTCTCACAATATCTTATGCGAGCCTATCACATGAAACCTACGAGACCACACGCTCCCTGGCAATGATGTAATATCACGTGCTATTCTTTTGATAATATAACAGAGAGAGTGTATAGGAAGATTTCGCGTTAAGAGAGGGTTGGAAGAGAGTTTACGCTAGTAATAGCCCTGGGGACAAATCTCAGCAGCCATGTTACTTTGTCGCGTTACAATAAAAATACATCGGCTTCTTATATCAACGGAAACATTTCGATTTTTCACCAACAAAACCAAACATTCCCGACTCCTGCACCGAAACGATGTAGTCAGCCCTACCGTGTAAAGATATAATGGAGGCATTGCTACAAGTACGTACTGAGCCCTCAATCTCATCATGTAGAGTTCCCAAGTGTTACATTAGAGTTTTTGTCAAGACCCAAAGCGGTAACAATCATTGGTCCGTGGGGCGTCAGGGTCGAGATGTCCCTCCCGTTCACAGGGATATACCAGCCGTTCAAGTAACGCCCGTTACTGTGTGGCGCAATCCCGTTTGCTCGGGACTCACCTACAAGACTCATGCCTGGTACCAAAGATTTTTCCCCTGCAACTGTAAGAAAACAACCGGCTAAATCGCCACATTGACCGGCCGCATGGTACTGGCTTTCGTGATTGTAGGGTCGAGGTATGCAGTCGATAAATTATGGGCCATGCATTAAAATTATCCCATTCGATGGTTAGAGCAGTCAGCTCGTGCAAGTCTGACATTACGCAGTACGATACGACACATGCGACACTCTAAGTTTACTGGGTTTATATGCACTGTCACAGGTATGAACTGGGCCGTTAGCGCAATAAATAGAGCTCTTAATTGCCGCATTACGTGATAGATTTTTTTACCAAAATTAGCAGCAGCGACAAAGTGACAGGGTGAGAATGATCAAGGAACACCGCAGTGGTTGCCGAGGAAATCTTTGGTTCTCGTAAGGTTTGTGAGAATGGAGCAGACCAGTATTCTCGTTCTTATCATTAGCGTTGGAGTCTCTATATATGGATTTTCTCTATGCTGTTGGTGTCGTCTGCATAGTTAGTTGCGGGATCTGTTATTTTGCTTCCGTGCCGTGTGCAAATTGGCAATTCGACTGAAGAATGTTTTTCGCGGAGACTGTCGTGAAGTACTACGGGTTATATAAGCGTCTCGGTGTAACAGTAGTGTTCCCTGCCTACATTAGGAAGTTCCTCCGTCGACGCAAGTGACTTCTTGCATCTACAAGGGGCAGACCTGAGGTCGGCATGCCATTTTTTAAGCACTTAAAGACTGCGCTGCGATGCAAGACATGGGATGGGCTTGATATGTCGCTCTTTTTGCGTACTTATGCACGAACTTCACATATAAACGTAGTTGGTTCATCAGTGACACCGCAGATGTATATAGTCGACTTCCAAACATGTGAAGAAGGAACAGTCTCTTTTGCCAGTTAGCTGGATACTTCTTTCGATGGTGGTAAAGCCACACGGCCACCCATCAATGTTTCTATCCGATCTTGAGTTGGGCTCTTGCAGCCATCATGCAATCCGGATTCTGACTCTGGATACAGAGCCTGCTGCCTCTGAGTCTACTAGGAACAAGTAGAAGGCAGAGATGTTACACGGGGTTTTGATCTATACTTCTCTTGCTGGGTCCGCACTAAGGCCGGTGGGCTTTAAGTTAGTGTTTCGTGAAAGTTGTCCAGCGAAATAGTAGAGTGGCTTGCTTATAGAAGGGAGGGACAATAGGTTTAATACTATTAATCTATATTACTATAGACNCAGATGTCGTTGGCATCTCCAGATGTCCTGGCATCTCCAGAGGACCTGGCATCTCCAGATGTCCTGTCTTGGCGAGATACTAAGTCACGTAATCCACGCCCCGCGTTGATCATTACCTTCTGACGTGGACGGCTGTAGCCCTTTTGCCTTTCCTCCTTCGTCAAGGAGAGGACCTTTCTTTGTTACTTGTAATAAGAGACCTCTAACTCTAAGTTCTATTAGAACAAGCAGCTCCTTCTTCTTTCTTGTTTAACATAAGCTACTTATCGCAAGTTAGCTACTATCTACGAAAGGATATCGAAAAACTACAGAATAAGCTCTTACAGGTAGTTAGGTTTTTATCCTAGGAGTTCCTACTAAGTCCCATAGAAGCCTAGTTCGGATCCTTCTCGGATATGGGTCGTGTCGAACGCTCAGCCGTTACAAAAAGCTAGTCTGTATTTAGTAGCAAAACGTCGCTAATATCAGACAGGGTTATTCTGATACAAATGCAAAACTAGCTTATTACACCGGTTTAGGATCTCTGCCGCCCCCCGTGTGTTCCGTCTTATGCGCCAACCCGCAGTACTGAGGTGTCTGGCCATTTCGGTTCCACGAGAGCTACGCTAGATTGTCGATAGTGCTGACCACTGACCCCAATCTAGTCATCATTAAACCTTGGAACAGGCAAACCTTGTGTTAAATGGATGAGTTGCTTACTGCAACTACCACCCAGGTAAGCTGACAGCTAAACTAGAAGAACGGTAGGATCAATCATACAGAGGTCGATGGCCATGCCCCGGAGGCTTTGGGAAAGCACCTTGCTTACTGAAAAGCCACCGTGCGCCTTACTTACGGTCCGAGTTATGGCTTAATGAAGCCTAGAGCTTATCAAATTAACTGCTGTTGGGATAGCCTTCAACATCATGGCAATCTTAATCAGCTAGCCAGGAGATCAGCATACCGGCCCTGCCGTCGCTCGATCCATATTCGACGGATCCATCGTCTCCTATTGGTTGGTGTCATTCACGGCTAGTATTGGTCTTGCGGGGATCAAGATTGAAGATAATCTGGAGAAAATATATGAAGCTTCCACAAGAACGACACTTGCGAGAGCACCGCACTCACAAACTCACCCAGTCATTCATTTTTTTCATCCATTGTATTGACTCCCTAATGCAGTCTTCAGCAGCATTCTGTGTGGCACTTGTTGCCTTCTTCGGCCTCTCACCAACTTCAGCCCTCCCCGCTAACGTCGATCCTCGCAATGTCATTTCGCGTGATGTAGCCATTATTGGGGGTGGCTCTTCGGGTATACACGCTGCTATCCAACTCAAGGATGCCGGAAAATCTATTATGGTCATTGAGTCCAAGGCCAGGATCGGTGGCCACACGGACACTTGGACCGATCCCAAGACTGGCATTGCCGTAGACTACGGCGTGTCAATCTGGCATAACATCTCCTCGGTGCTCGAGTACTTCAACCGGTTCAACGTCCCGCTGGCTCCATCATCGATTACTGTCGGCCAGACCTTGAACATCGATTTCACCACGGGTGCTGTTATCCCTGTCCCAGCCTCCTCACAACCTACCCAGGAAGCGCTTGCTGCTGCATTCCAGAAGTATGCTGCTTTCTTGATGAAGTACCCTCAGCTCGCTTCTGGTATGTTCTTGCCCAATCCTGTACCTAAGGAGTTGTCCCAGCCTTTCGGCCAGCTGGTCCAGCAACTTGGTATCGAAGCAATTGTGCCAATTTTGGCAAGATTGAATCCTGGAAATGGCGACCTTGCCACCATCCCTGTCGTGGAATTTGCACGTGTAGCTGGCTTAGATCTTATTAAGCAGACGACCGCGAACAGCTTTCTCACAACTGCGCGCCACAACAATAGCGAGATCTATGGCAAGGCACAGGCTGAACTCCTTCATGCTAATAGTCTCTTACTCTCTTCGCATGTTATTAGCTCACAACGCAAGGACAATAAGGTTGAACTTGCTGTCCAAACTCCTGAGGGCATTAAATACATCTGCGCAAAGAAGGTCGTCATTGCTATCCCACCTCGCCTAGAGAACCTCCAACCGTTCAGTCCTACTGAGGCTGAGCGCAGCGTCTTCAGTAGATGGATCAATGCCGGCTACTACACCTGTATTGTTAACAACACTGGCCTCCCAACTATGCTGGTAGACAACATCAACCCGAACAACCCCTTCTTTGCTCTGCCGAGCCAACCTGGCACTTTGATGGCCACTCCAAACGGTGTACCCGGCCTCTTCAACGTCTACTATGTTTCTCCTCGCGGAAACGCCGAGTATCCCTTCACCCTCGACGAGGTCAAGTCCCGTATGGTTGCCGATCTCAAGCGCGCCCAGACAGTTAACCAGAAGACGGCAAACTTCACCCAGACCAACCCGGAGTTCGTCGTCTGCGCTGCCCACCAGCCTTTCTACCTCCAGGTCAGCTCCGAAGATATTGACGCAGGCTTCTACAATCGCATGAACGCACTCCAGGGACAAAAGAGCTTTTTCTACACTGGTGCTGCCTTCAGGGCTCATGACAGCAGCATGATCTGGGACTACAACAACCAAGTCCTTCTTCCCATGCTACTCAAGAGCCTTGGGGGATAGAATTTGTCAAACGGTACACTTGGATGCTGACAAGAGTTGCTTGAAGGAGGGTTTCTGTGCAATGAGAACACACTTAATCACAGTTAGATGATGTATAGAAATTTAATCTCTTAGCCAACTCAATACAAGCCCATGGCCAAAAACCATGTCCTTATTCGAGAAGTGCAGAAACGTGATGCGAAATTCAATGGGTATGGCGCAAAGGGCATATGACCCTCTTCTGAGACCCTCTTTGCCCATTTTCGAGCCCCATAGCTTCGTACCAGAAGACAAGATACAGTTTTCGTAACTAGCCGAGACCCAATAAAGTATGTTATAGATAGGATTCATAGGATGCCAAGTTTAGCAGTAATAAAAAAAAGCTTTTGCAAATTCATAAGACGATAAATAGGGTAATATCCTATCCACTGGCAGACCTATATATTATAGAGTTTTAGGCAGAGAGGCGTAACCGACGAGTATGTACTCACCTATCGTATAACTAGCAGAAGAAAGATGAAGACTATAGATCTACGTACGCGCATATCTCTTATACCCCTTTACTTGCTTATCCTCTTTCATACACAAGGTTTGATCAAGCTCTCGCTTACTACGAGATGATCTTCAGGTCCGTACGTGTTCTTGGGTCAAGTGACTAGTAGTTATATGTGACTCTCTGCTTGTCGCACGTACCTCACGTGATCTTCTGCATCAGTCTATGGCGTGGCCCATGATAAAAACCAGTTTGGTGGTACCGCCTTGTGCAATGGCAATGACTGAAGATAGTGACAACGCCAGCCAACAGGTGGACGCGCTGAAACCGAAGATGAGATGTTCCTGCAGGAATGTGGCTGAAGTGTGCTTAGGTAATCAGGATATTACTACCATGTCCATGTTATTATGTACTAAACTGATGCAGATGAGCACCAAGCGGCCTATCTAGTAGCGGACGTTGAAGCCACTCTCATCGGGCTTTGTGGCAATGTCGGAGTGGTCGACTTTGGAGACGGATGAGGCTGGTGGACCCTTGTGCAGGTGGTGGACGAAGTCGTTGAGCTTGTCGTCGGTGGCCTGAGCTTCGCCCTGGACCTGGAAAGGATTAGTGCGGGTGAGGTGTGGCGGCCATGGTAATGGCATTGTGAGTGCATACGCTTCCGTCTGATGCATTGGTCACGAAGCCCGTCACACCAAGACTCCGGGCGGTCTTCTGGGTGAAGGATCTGAAATTGACACCCTGTACACGGCCCTCGACCTTGTACTGGATCTGTGCAAAGTCATTAGCTTCTGCCACGACAGCAGCCACTTGGCATGACAGCAACGGACGTGACGCACCCGCTTGGCCGACATTGTGGGTTAATGCGTGTGCTTGGATGGGAGGGGCGGAGAGGGGCACGGCAGCGCTTCAAGTACAGTGCAGCGAGGTTGTTGCTATAGGCAGGGAGAAGAGGAGAGCGATGCAACAAGACAGACGAGGGCCCGTCAAGCCACTGGCTCGTCGGTGATACTATGGGCCAGGCGCGGTGCAGCAGGGCGACGTCATGGCAGCTGGCGAAACCCAGACACTACTGCTACTGCGACTGCGACTGCTAAGGACCAGAGCGCGGTTGGGAGAGGCACCCCTGCGACGTCGCGGATGGTGGACGGGTGCGGGGCCAGAGGAAGAGCAAGAGGCGACCGAAAAAAAGAAAGACAGAGACAGAGCTACGAGGGCAGCCTCAGCCGCCGCAAGGGGCGGGCGCGGGTCAACGGGCGAATTTCTTTTTTTGCTCACATGTCAAAAGTATGGATTGTACAGTCAGCGCCGCCGTGTTGCTCGCTCGCAACCGCAATGTGTTCACGGTTGCCGGAAATTACTCGCCGCGAGGGAGCGCCGGGCGGTGGTGACGCTAGTCTCGCGTTGCTTTCGGATACAATCTCGCGTCGCTCCCCAGTCGATGAAACCTCTAATCAAACGCCCCCCCTTTCGCCCCAGAGTCACATAGCAACAACCGCACTTCGCCCAGGTGGCTCCGCAAACAACTGCGAGCCCTTGAAAACTGTCCTCACGCTCCGTAAATGCCGAGGATTCGTACAAAGCACCGAATCTCTCTGCTGATAAGGAGTCTGACGACTGCCACGGCTTTGCACCTCCCCCCCCTGTCAACCACAATGGACACGACATCCACCTCGCCGCCCCAACGCTCGACGTCGCCCGACCCGTGGGCTACGCCCTCTCTCGCCATCGGCGCCATACCGCCTCTCGACCGCTCTGTCTCGACCGCTTCGTCCGTCTCGTCCGTCTCCGGACGCTCGGCAGGCTCCCGGCTGTCCGATGGCGGCAGGCGGCGTGGATACATGAGGCCTGAGGGCACAGAGTTCTCCGAGTCTGCAAAGAGCAGAGAGAGCGTCATGAACCTTGGCACTATTGCCCATCTGCAATACTACTTTGCCAGAACTGGTCTGCTTGACACTGCCACGGGACGGATAGCAAAAGGTCGCAAGCCCGGATCGCGAACAGCGAGCGGCAACGAGCCACTCTCGCCGGGGCTCGATGCAGAGTTTGGCGTACTGTCACCTGGATCACCAATGAGCGAGCATCACATGGGCGAGGGCTTCGTCGAGTCACCGCTCGACGAGACGCCTTCCATGACCTGGGAGGACCCTGAGCCCATGATGCTCCCGCCTACCGTGAGCACATACAAGAACAACCCCATCTACGTACCCCCGCCACCTGACATGACGGTACTTCGTCGCGAACTACGCGAGTCGCTCGCCGAATCCATGAAGCATCTGCACGAGCTTGAGAAGGGTTTCTCGGATATTCAGCCAGACGGAAAGACAGCAAAGAACGGTGGTGCTGACGCGTCGGGATGGCATGAGGTCCAGGGCCTGAACTTGCTCGATGTCACGACGCTGGCCATCCGGGCTGCCAAGAACTACTACACTGCACACGAAGAGCCACAGCGACTTTACGCCATCAAGTCGGAACGTGAGATTCGCAAGGAGCTGTACGATACACTCGAGGTGCTGAAGCGCCTGGCCATTCGCAACTTTGGAAACGGTGTTCAGCCATACGAAGTCACTCAACTCAAGCAGTGGGTTGACGACATCAGCGCACTTCTAGATACGGAAGAAGAGAAGGAACGTGAAGAGCAGGAGGCGCGTGAAACGTGGTCGTGGCGCGATGGCGACTGGTCAGGCAAAGAGCGGGAGCGAGAAGTTCTCTTTCTCCGATCGTTTGACGAGACAAGCGCCGAAGCCCTTCCAGAGTGGACAGCCCCTACAGAGTCGGAACTCCCGACGCCCTTCCTTGCTACACTCCAAGACGGACTAAGGCTGGTGCGCCTGCACAACACGCTAGTGCGAAGATCGAAACGACACTTTGAGCAGATCAAGACGTACCACACGGACACAACCAAGCCATACCGCTGCGCCGACAACCTGCGCTACTGGGTCAAAGCGGCCGAGCTGCGCTGGGACATCAAGCTCGATGTCGACGTCATGGGCGTGGTGCAGGGCAAGGATGCTGAAGCATGGCGAAAGTTTGACGCAGCTATTCTACAATGGAGCCAAGGGGTGCGTGAGGAAATCACTCTCGAGTGGCTGAAGCAGAAGAACCAGGCGAGGACACCTACACTACAGATTGACCCAAACTATGAGGCGCTGTGAAGTGGCCAGATGATGGCAAATGCAAGGGCTGGTTCGCCGATTTCTTTCGCTGTTTATGTTTTTTTGCAAAGTATCATCCATTTGTAATTTGCACGATGATTACGTCTTCAGACTCTCAACTCTTCTCGGCAGAAGTCTTACTAGTAGTTTTACCCTTTTTTTCTTTGTTTGTTTCTTTTGTCTTTTCGGGAGAAAGGCCTGGATGGAAGCTGGGCTCCCTTAGTATCATTCGGCTCAGAGGGCGCTGGATGGCTGGCGACTTGAGATAGATACCCCCTTTTTGGATCAGCGGCTTGCAGTCAGATGTTGTATGAAATGGAGTCTCGTTGAGAATGAAAGGTGGTACCAGGGTGTGTGTGTGAGTATGTGTGTGAGAGAGTGTGTGTGTATGTACTATGTAATGTCTATGTAGGGTTATACGGAGATGTATCATTGGCAACGATAGTATTTATCGTGGGCGTCGGAGGGGGAGGAAGAGGGGAATAGAACAGTAGTAGTCAGCTGAAAAGGGGGCAGCGGTCCAGATGCGTGTGGGTGCTCGATGTGCAATGTGCTGCTGGCCCACGTGGTTGGAGGGGCGCATTTGTGTACAATGTGGGTGCAAGTGTATGTGGTATAGAGGCGGTATATGTGTGCACAAGGCGGGCCTGGTGCGCACAGTGAAGTCATGTGCTCGTATATCCAAAGCACACATAACCACTGCACACGCTCGACGGCCGACCGAGCGCCTCTTTAGCGTTGCAGAGTGTGGAGGGGCTGGGCGCATTGACAGCATTGCGCGCAGGGGGCTTGCTGGCGGAAATTGAGCATAGCGGCACTCCGTGTCTCAAAGGCGGGACGCTGTGAACTGTCCTGATCTGATTGCTGGGGGAACGTGTCGTCCAGGCGTGGCTCATTTGCATACGACGTCTTATCGCGGCCGGAACAGCACAGAGGACAGACTGCAGCCCATTGCATTCTCGCCCTCTGCTGCAGGCCGCCTAGTGCCTAGGTACATACACACATACATACCCTACATACACAGCCACCCAGCCAGCCATACCACCAAAAGAAACGCGTGAAGGCGGCTGACGCGACGTCGGAGCCGGCCACCTCCCCAAGCCCTCGAAGAACGATTCATCTCCCGGTGCAGCGCATCCGTGCATCCAGCGCACCTCCGGCGTGCGCAGCCCTCGCCCTCGACTGAACGCGACCTAGAGATCTTCTCGAGGTCCAAGCAGAGAAATGCTCGATGAGCCACCCGGCCGCGCCGCCTCGAGTGAACAACAGCAGCAGCCCCGCGACTGCCGTTGACCTGCCAGCGAAGACACCGCCCAATCCATCCGCCGCCCCATCGCCAGCAGCCTCATCGCCCAAACCCCTTCGTCCCACGCCTCCACACCTCGAAAGCACCACCAAACTCGCGCGAAATGTCTCTCCGGGCCTGCTGGCGCGCATGAAGTTCCTCAACCAGCCCGCCGACGCCCACTCCGCTACCAAGCCTACCGTCGACGTCGGCCGCATCGAGCAGGATCGGCTGCGGCGCCTCGACGAGTTCCGCAAAGCCCGCAACCTCGACATCGAGCGCCGCGGCACTGCCTGGACTGCACGGCCTGGCCAGTCGACGCCCACCCTCACCCCTCTCATCCCCCAGTCGACGGGCGGGAGCGTGCCAGCCCTCACCATGGAGCCCGACTTTGAGAGCGACCGCAGCAGTGTCGTCAGCACCAGCGACAAGGTTCTGCCCTCCGAGTCGGACGCCGATGGCGAGCTCGACATGCAAAAATACCGCTTGCCCGACGTCACCAAGCCAGAAAAAGCACTCGGCCAGACGCTGGTCGCGACTGCCATGACCTCGCCCATCACAAGCGCGACAACAACACCCCCAGCAGCCACGCCTGCAACTGCAACTGCAACCACCACGGCAGCAGTACAAGAGACACCCATCATCGCCCCACCCCAACAATCACCACAACCATCCACGGTAGCCGCCCTTCTGCCGCCACTGCCCATCCAGGCAGAACGCACACTACCCCCAACACCGCCGCCCAAAGACTCGCCGCCGCTGCACGACTCGCCGCCGCTGCCACCACTGCCGCTGGCCGACCCCGACGAGGCGTCCGTCCTCGACGACAACAATGGCATCGATATCGAGTCCTACTTCCAGCGCCGCCACTACCCGCGCGCCGGCTCCATCTACACCCTCTCCAAGGCTAGCTTCACCAACCAGATCCAGCAGCTGACCTCGATGAAGCTACCGCCTACCACCATCGCCTCGGAGATCACCGCCCTGGCCTCGCCAACCCAGGCCGCCCGCGCACTGCACAAGGCAGCCAACGACATCCGTCTGTGGGTTTCCAAGATCAAGGAGGTCCTCAGCGGCCTCGACGCCGACGACGATGTCGAGTGGGCCGCCGCTGCCGGCCGAGAGGGGCTCGCCGAGGTTGACACCGCAATCAGCAAGTTCGAGGGACTTGTCAATGTCTACATCGGTGCTATCGAAGATCTCCAGTCGCGCTCAGACATTGCCCTGCTGCCGACGCGAGACCAAGTCACCCTCGTTAGCCAGATGGAAGACATTGTAATGAGCTGGGGTGACATTAAGCAGACGCTCAAGGGTATTAAGAACCAAGTCGAGATTGCCATGGAGTGGGAAGAGCTGTGGAACAATGTCCTGGGTGAGATTGGCGCCGAAGTCGAAAACCTCAGCCGCTTGGTATTCGAGATGGAGGAGCGCAGACATCGCGTCATCTCCGATTCGGTCGCCGAGGCACCAGAAAAGTTCGACATTAAAGAGCTCGAGAACATTGTCGAGGATCTGCCGCGAAAGCAAGCCATTCTCAACAGCAAGCGGTTTAGTATGCCCACGCTGTCTATCCTGTCTCCTGTTTCGCCGCTCCCTCAAATCGAGCAAGAAAACTCTCGGCTGCTGGCTCTCTTTGCCAAGCTGCAGCCATTGCGTGCATCGCTCGACTTCCTTCCCATGCGACTCAGCACCTTCCAAATAAGAGCAAAGACCATTTTTCCCTCTGCTTGTGACGAGCTGGACCGCAGGAGGGAGCAACTCGAGGCCCAGGAGAAGAAGTTGGAGGCCGAGGCAGACGCACTACGAGAGGAACTGGGCGAGGACAAGTGGGTGCACAGCTTCCGCCAGGCTGGAAGCAAGGCTGTTGCCATGTACGATTCATGCATGAAGAGCATACAGAGACTACAGCAAGCTATCGACGACACTGACGACGAGAAACTGGCCTCACGCATTGCCACATACAAGGACAAGAGAGACCACTACCCGCCGTCTATGAGGCGCGTCCTGGAGTTGATCGACATTGAGATGAAGCACAGGGCCACCGTCAATGGTGAGATTCTGCGCATTCAGCAGGATGTACGGTCCAAGGTAGAGGATCTCGAGACAGTCACTGGAAACATGGACGCCATCCTGGACGACTTTACTGCCAGACGCAAGCTTCGTGACTCCGTTTCTACTGTCCTCTCTGCTCGCACCGAGACCTCGTTTGCACATTCCAACATGGGCACCCCAGGCAGCTCTCCCGCTTCAAGCGTCGTCATGAGCCGCAAGAGTAGTGCCACGAGCTCTGCTGTTCTCCCGTCGGGCAAGAAGCCCCGACAGCCTAGCGCCGCATCATCCAAGCCAGTCATGCCCGCAAACCGACGATACTCGAGCATGCCGCAGAGCACAGCTGCCCCTCCTCGCAAGTCCCTGCCCTCGTCTCGTCTGGACTTTACGCCTTCTCGCGCCACAGCTGGCACATTGGCTAGCCAAGCACGCGTGAAGACTCCCACCGACAAAGCAGCACCTAAGCCTCGCTGGAACTCGGATACCCATCTGCGTGACACAATCATTGGACACAACTTCAAGCCGTTGTCTCTGAGTACACCATCGCCATTTCGAAAGGACAAGGACACACCGAGTGCATCTGCGCGAAGCTCTTCAAGCCGTACGTCCATTCCTGTAAGAAGCCCGTTAGGCCGTTCTTCGAATCTCTCGCCCGCCATGTCTGCCAGGTCCACGTCGACCAGCCCCGCCTTGCAGCGCCCGGGACGGCTTCTAGCGAGCCCCATGGAAACGCCAGCTACGCCTGGAGAAGGCAGACCAGTTCCTCGGTCAACGCCAACGTCTCCTCCCCAGGCTCAAACTACCACACCAGGATCAAGCCGTCGCGCAACCACTGCGAAACAAGATGGTATGAGTCCTGGTGGTGAGGAGAGCCCTGCAGCCCGTCGCGCGTCCCGGCCTTCCAGTTCGGCAACCAACCACCGCAGCGGTATGTTTGGCTCAAGGCAACGACCTTCGTCGGCCCCGAAGCCCACAGAAACCAGCCCTGCTTCCACCTCTGGGCGTACGATCAGCAGGCTCGGCAATGTGAGTGGAGGAAGGGCCAGTAGAGCTGGCGAAGCACGCACCGATAGTCGTGTTAGCGGGCGCCAGTCAAGCCAAGGACAAAACAAACCTGTCTGGAGATAGGCGCTCACAAAGCGGACATTTTCTGCCGGGAGCTCCGACCTTGAAGTGAACGACTTCCCTATCCAGGCTTTTTTACAAGCAAACCACGGCATCTTCATGTCGATCATTGTCGCATTGACAGCTTCTTGTTCCCCAACACTTCATTTCACCTCCGGATCCTGGCTTGATTCGCACCACACCCCTATTCACTAGTACCAATTTTAGCTAACTAGTTACCTTTTTATCGTTTTTTGCGCCTTTTCCTGTTACGGTGTTCAGGAGCGGCTCCCCCCTTTTTTTATTCCCGATGTATGGCATCGACTATCGATCTCAACTCTGGAAATCATCATTTGAGTGATTTTTCCTCACTTGGGCGTTTTTGGCGGTTGGGAGAAAGTATCCTATACCCCGGAGTTTTTGTGTTGTTGTTTTTTTGGCACTGTTTGCTTGTTTGCTTTGCGCCCCCTCGTACTTCTTCCAACAGCAGCCGTACGGCATGTTCGGAATGCGGCGATACCCCCCTCATGTCAAGCTTTGGTGCGTTTTTGAAAGCGTTGTAGTTTGTTGCCAAGCATGGCGAACATTGTATATGCAGACTAGATTGGTATTGTAGGGTTGGATGGGCGTAGCATAGCATAGGAAAGAAGGGAGGTGTTTGGTGGGGTGGTGGATATCGGGGTGAAGCAAACTTTACACCATGTGTATAAAGTTGGAGTTTGTCATTTGATTAGTAACGTGCATATCCCATGCGTGGCGGACCACCAGCTGTAACGGACATAAATACAGGTACTTAGACTTTGCATCCGTAGACAACTCCTGAATATATCTACAAGTACCTAATACAAAAATTACTATCATGTGACAGCCTGCCTTTTTTTCTCCATGCGCGCAGCCGACCTTGTTTGGCGGTAAAAGTACGGCCTTTACTAATGCAGAGAGCCACCACCATCGCTGTTTGTCCATTACAAAGCAGGCTTTAATGCTCCGTCTTATGGTTTGGTAGAGAGCTCTGTGGGCTAGATAGCTAGGTAAGAGATATAAGGGAAATAACGTACCCATCTTCCCTATCCTAACATTGTTAGTATTGGCGCAGGTGTTTTTTTGATATCTTTGTCCCCGTAGTGTCAAAGGAGATGTGAGAGAGAGACTAGAATGCAAAAGGCAGCAGATAGTTGATTGTAGTTCTTATGAATCATTCTATTGTTGATGGTCTCTATAGTATCTGACAGGCTAACGACTGCTATTTTTCGATTTCTATGCGCACTCGGAAACGTAGCTCTCAATCTTGCACCGGTTGCCTGTAGTAGAGGTGCTATCCGCTATTAATCTGTCAGACAAACTCTTTTTTTTATCATTTGGGCTTTGGGCTCATGTGAAAAAAGAATTTCACCGTCCTTTTTTTTACTTTACTTACGTTGACAAGTTAAAAACCCCTTGGAACCAGAGTCACATGAACAGCAATCCCCGTCACCCCTACACTCTCCTGTAATATCATGTTTAGTGGGAATTCTTTCTCAGACAAACAACCAGTAGATGAAGGAGGTGTTTTTTTAAAGGTCTTACCTCCTAATCCTTTCGCAAACATTGTATCGCATGGAAGCTTGGCAGATGCAATGCTCATAGTTAAGCTGAATGCCAAAGCGAGAAGGAAGCGCATCTTGCTTGATCTGGAAGGAATCTGAAGACGAGAAGGGGAGAGAGAGAAAAAAAGCGAGATTAAGATTGAGAGGGAAGATGTAGAATGGAATTGACTGGTAACACGCCTTTTTGCGCCTATGATCAAAGGCAGAGAGCGAAGTGTTTAAATAATAAATCTTCTTACCTAAGCATCTGTTACTCTCTGACTTATAACCAACAACATGGGACCACCTCAGAACTACCGAGTTTACCATCCGGCTCTGCCCCGTGCGATTTTGTTTTTGACTGCATCAAGAAGGCCCGGTGGGAGAGACTAATAAAAGAAATCAAATAGTAATAATCACATGATTTTCTACGCTTCACCCCCCCTCCCCCCCACCCAAAGTCGCAGAAATAGAGCATCGCCAAGAACTTGACAAAGCTACAAAGCGACCACAGAACAGACCGTACACACAAACCCTTATCCTTTTCTCCCGTATTGCAATCGGCCCGAAGCTGGCTTACAGTACTGAATACAGTTAACACTGCAAGAAGCGGTGACAAGCGCCGCCCCTGTCCACACCCTCGCTCGCATCTTTACTCAGAATCTTGCATTTACAAACCTGGCTGTTTGAGGGAGGGTTTTTTTTTCCTTCTTATGCGTAGAATAAGGTCCCTTGAGCACACATGTCCTATTGCAATCTCTATCCTATGCCTATTGTTTAGTGAAAAAACATGAATCTGTACTTACCACCGTTCATGCACAACCCCCCGCTCCCTTGATCCAGCAAGGAAAGAAACGGTTTCTTATTTTTATTTTTATATTTATTTTTATTTTCAAAATGGCTTGAATATAGCGTCATGCGCTACACTCTGAATTTGTAAGGGTGTTTACTTGACTAGAAAAGCTTGAGTGGTGCTTTGCTGTGTATGGCTAACCGGCAACTTTTGCAATCCAAAAAAAAGAGGACGCTTGTTTGGTTTCTCTTCCAGGAGTAAAGAGATTCACCACTATACACTGCCTTCTTTTTTTACCAAACTAGCGCTTACATGACTAAAAAATAACGCACTATTTAGTGCTGATCATTGTTATATATTTACTCCTCTTTAGGTGAAACCGGAGAATTTTTTTTCTGAATTTCTAGCTCGAACTTTCGCAATTTCTCATCTTTCTGGCTAAAGAAGCTCCGTAGTTGTTGTTGTTGTTGTTGCGCTCTGGCGGGGGGAGGGGGGGAGACACTTGGCCCCAAGCACGCTGGCAAATGGAGAGGGTACACCCTAGTACGAGGTCATAGCAGCAGTGGGTCGCATGGATAGAGGTATGATTGGGGCTACCACTTGGAAGTTCGACAAAGAGAAGTAGGGTTGCTAGGACCTTTAGTCAGAAGTAAAGTTTTGGTAGAAATGGGCTTACGTGAGATCTTTACTGTTACTACGCATTTGCCACCGTACGCCGGTGAGATGATTATTGGATGCGAATACTCACCGCTTGCTGACACTCATTCGATGGTATTGAGCATTGCACATTTTATGCCAATATCTCTGTCATCCTGTTGGTGTTATCCTTGCATACAAGGACCTTGATACAGCTGGGAATAGAGAGCATAATACCCATTTCGGCTATAGTTTACATGTTCTTCAGCACTATATCTAGTCTACGGAGCTCCTGTTCGGTTATGCCGAACTAGTACATAACAGTGTTGCATATGCTTTCACGCACGTTTGGGGACAGGTTTAAAACCAGTGCTTAACCAGCTACATCTATACCTGCGATCAGCAAATACAGAGGGGTGACATGGAAAAAATATGTTACTAAAAGTTGCTATTTTTAAACTAGTATAACTTAGCGAATA